CATTGATCCAGAATTACAAATGTTTTCTGCAGTACTTTAAGAACTGTCGTACTTTGTTACAAATCTTTTTGTCAATGTACATTTTTTAGTTCAAGCACATTACTTGTGGAGTTAAGTGAAATGTTTTTATCTGTGATTTGAAACTCCCTTTTTCTGTGATAGTAAGTTTTAATTTAAAAAGAGCTAATTGCAGTACTCTACATAGCCAGAATCGTACCATGAAATACGTAATTTATTTAGGAATATTCCAGGTGTCATTCTTGTTTTCAAACTCAAATGAGGATTTTAAATGTTATTTTTTGACGTATAGTAACCATGATGATGTATGTGGTGTTTGCAGACTTCAGATTTATAGCATTGTATGTAACTGCAGTGGCTTTGTGGTAGCTTTTTAAACTTTTTTTTAAATCCTGCATTTTTAAATCTAGATGACATTTTCCTTTGAAGGTACTAATTCAATGCTGCACTGATCTTTTGCAGTGTGTTACTCCACTGATGTTTTGCATTACCCAATAGTATTGTGTTTTCTTCATTAATTTATACTGGCAGATTAGTTTGAGACAATCATCCTAAACAAATGTGTTATATATTTGAATTTCTGGGTACATGTTGCAAAAAAAAAAAGGTGGTCTTTGGCCATCATTATCAGCCAGGACTGAACCTTTTCTTCATAACTGCAAAGACAGTGTTTTCTGCTTCCTTGACATTCACTTGATTAATTTATTCAGAAGCACATTGTCTGTTTTATATAATTATCTTATGCTTGATGAGCTAGCATTGCATTTCAAACATCTTCAGCACTAGAGCACTGGAGGAGCACATGGTTTTAAACTCCTGTTCTTCTCCTGTAGAAACAGGGTTTCTGAAACAATTTATTTCAGATGTGTTTTAGCCTTGGGCACAGTTTTTGATCCACTCATTTGAAGTCTAGTAGGTAAATTAAATACTGAGCTCCTGTTTCATTGCTTATGTATTTTCTACCAATGGGGGACATTGGTTCACAGTTTTCACAATTAATCTCTGTAGGATCTCGGACTTAAAACGTTTAAGGCTCTTGGTTTTGCTTCTGTACTGCTTTGAACCCATATAGTGCTATTAGGGTTGATCCCCTTCTCTGTTCTCTGGCCACTCTGGAGATGTATTCTGTCCATTTGTAGCACTGATGGGTGGTTCAAGCATAAATCAGACCAGGGCCAACTATACAAAGATGTGGTCCTGGATAGAGGAAAGTGGGGGACCACCCCTGTTTGTAAAAACCCTATTGCAAATGCAACCAAGTGGTAAGCAGTGGAAGAAGTGTCTTCAAAGGAGAGTCCTGCTGTCCTATGGCAAACAGAGTGCACAATGTTTTGTAATTTTTTTACCTAGCATATATATGCTGTTGTGAATACATTTTAAAATAATAGGAAGCTGAAATCAAGGGACCATTGAAAACCCAGTCATCTACAGAGGTGCCCTGGCTGCAAAATATCTTCAAATGAAGATACTCATTGCCATTTTCATAGTTTACGTATGTTTGTGGTGATTTAATGGCCTGCCAGAATAAATGTTGGTGATGCGGTGGGTATAAGGAGATGCTACAACAGATTTTGTTCTCTGAAAATCTATATTTTCTTCAAAATGACATTTCTAGATTTGCTATCAAAGTGGTTTAATGTATAGTTTTGCAGGAAGAGTTTTTTTCTTTTTTACTATTAACATTTACATTAGAGGACCTTTTCTATTCTTAACATTTCTAGAGTTAATGTGAATTTTTACAGTGGTGAAAAAATACATTTACAATATTATGAAGCTGTGGTGTGATCTAGATTTTTCAAATTTTGTAGAAAAAAAAGTATTTTAATTCTCTGGTTTGGAGGAAAAAGTATTATCTTTTAAAAGCCATAAGGGATGTGTTGTGGGGTTCTTGCTACTTTACAAGGGATTATTGTTGCCAGGGAAAGAAATTATACAGACAAGCAATAACACTATGACAATCTGAGGTCTTGTTTTTTCTATCGCAGTTCATGTTTTGAAAAATTGTCGGTTTACGTAGCATCCTACTGTATGGGCTAACAGGTTTAAATTATTGTGAAATTGTAGTCATGGGAGAACATGACTGTTACAATCTATGTACATTTTTTGTTTGAGGCTACAATAAAGTCATGGGGGAACAATCTTGTGCACTTTTCTTTGTAATACGTTTTTGAATTATATATCTGGGTATATAATAATTCATTGTGCATATTTTTTTTAAAATTCAATGTTTTTACAAAGAGCTAAAATATCTTAAACCACACTTCATTTTAAATAATGTCTAATTAAATAATGAGTTTAAATAATGTCTAATTTGTGTAATTTTGTCTGGCAATTATAATCTGAATTATCAGCAGTCAGTCTACATCACATAATGTCTACTGTCTGCATTATGCAAATTAAGATTTTATAGTGTGCTATGAGTATAGCAAATTAAACATTGACAGCATTTAGGAATATTAAATAAACTGTCTTTGTTCTCTTTACATTGGTAATTGACAGTGCATACTGCCTGTGAAGGGTAGTACTGTATACTACAGCAGTAAGATCATAAACTGCATTGTTATTGGCAAAGGTTATCATTCAAGCATTGCATAAAGTCCAAGGCACTGCCTGATACTTTCGCTTCATGTATGAAATACAGTAAGGGTACTTTACCTATTTATTCTCCTCTGTATTCTGTAGAATTCTAAAACTTTTACAGTATGTGAAGTGTTAATAGGATGAACACATACACTACAGAGAAACATCTGAAATGTAGTAAAAGATTAATTAAAAGCAATCTAAGTACATTAAGATATACATTTATTCATTTGGCAGATGCTTTTGTCAAAAGCAGCTTACAATACAGTAGCAAATAATTCTCATGTCCTAATAGAATGTAAATTTATAATGCAAAACTTAAAGTAGAAACCAGTGAAATGAAAAACTTTAACACAAAACATTTCATTTTTCTGTACTGAATATGAACAGCGATGTTTTAGCCCAACTTAATTCTTGGAACCGAAATAGTGCCTTATATGGCTATCTTACCATACCAGATAGTTTCCTCAACACTTTCTTGACTCTACCTGTTTTTCCTGTGCATAATATTAAGCTCAGGCCTACGATTCTTACGGCTAGTTACAATTTTATTTGCAAATTCCCTGCAACTGTCAGACTGCAGCGCTGATGGTTATCTTTATCAATTTAAATACATCAACTTGTAGGCTACCTCTTTTGGTAGGTTAGACAGAAGGCCTTTGAAAACCTGTGAGGTTATCTGATATACAGTACTAGTGTACGTTTTTAAGCACCATCTAGATGAGACTTAGTCGTTTATGGCTCGGCGGACGTGGGTTCTGATCAATTCAAGGTAATTGGCTAAATCCATCATCCTTGAGAGCTACAGGGTGTTGGTGTTTTTGTTTCCAATGAATGAACAAATTACTTGTTTCAGGAGTCAAAGCTAAATTATTTAAAGGGTTAGGAAATTGGTGGTTCAAGGGAGACCTGTCAAGCTTGCTGGAATCCAGAAATGGGGTTGGTCTACATTTACACTGGAAATATAAACGTAATGAAAAAAGAGGTCATAAAGCATCATAAATTGGCAGACTAAGATTAATTACTAATGGTGGGCCAAATATTTCATTTTCACTTGCACATTATTTTCCTCTCTTCAAAATTGCAAATCTCAGCATGTTCAGAAGCATGTATTAATATTAAATTCTCCTTGTAGGTGAAGTTTGCATTGGTATTTTCTCACAATCACTGTACCTGAAAGATTTTTTTACTTTTCTGATGGCTTCCTTCTTTTATTTGTGACTACAGAAGAGCATAAATTAACAATGCTGGTGGAAACCATTGCTGAGGTTTATCAATGTACCTACATCTGTGTGAATGTACCCTAATTGGGTTGTGTCCTGTGTTGAACATCTTTCTTTCCTTCCTGTGTCACATCGGATACAGCAGAATCTTGAGTGGCTGCTTATCACACACAATCGGGATGCTTTTTAAAATTAATTTCAATACATATATTTCTTGTCTACGCTAATCTTTAGTCCCACTGGCACAGGACACTTACATTTTAAAATTTTCTCTGGTGATAAATTTGTGCAAATGGAAATAACACCCACAGTGCAGTTTTAGTTTTCTGTCAAACTCCATACCACTTTTTGGTCCTACTTCTGCAAACATATTTTCTCACAGGGTGTTTTAATAATAGTAACAGCAGGAGGCTGGATTCTGGACTTCATTTGACTTAAAACCTGTGATCTCAAACTCAATACAGAAAGGACCTTGTGTCTTCTGATTGGTTTTCCATCCCGAGTAGTCTATTAAACAAATAGACTGATTACTTTCTGAGACACGCGTAGACCTTTTCCTAAGGTATTCTACAGTTAAATACTTAAAATATTCATGTCACTTCAAAGGCGTGATTAGCTATAAAATATGCTGTAGCCTTTTTAGAGGTATTACAATTATGTGTTTACTAAGTAATTAATGATGTATAATAATAATAGTAATAATATTAATAATAATAATAATATCACTTTATTAACCCTTTACAATTTCTTGCATTAGAAATTATCTTTTCACATACCCCAGCTTGCTCTCCATGAGACACACAGACAGGGAGAGAGCCTGGGGTCAGAGCACAGGGTCAGCCATTGTACAGCACCCCTGGAGCAGTTGGGGTTAAGGGCCTTGCTCAGGAGCCCAACAGAGTAGGATTCCTCTGCCAGCTGTGGGATTTGAACCGGCAACCTTCTTTTGCTAATTAGCGAATTCATATACACTGTGTGGCATACAAATGAGTTTTACATTTTACTTTGTATATTGATACAGGAATTTATTTTCTAGTGCTATTTATCAGGAACAAAGTTCCATATAGATATGCTGATTAAAGGTGATGTAGACCTCCATCTATATTAACTGTGAATCATGGTTTAAAATCAACAGCAAAAACCAGTTAATAAGCTCTTCTACCTCTGTTTGCCTTACAGAAGCAGTTACGGAAGCAGTTGAAAAACAGGATGAAGAGAAGCCAAAAGAAAAAGGTACCCAAGCTTTAATCCATGAGTAAGAAATGCGAACAAATTGAACAAAGCTTTACATTTGGTCCTGGCGAGTTGGAAATTTTACATCTAGAACGCAAAGAAAACAGTTCCCAGTTCAGCCTGCAGGTGGCGCCACGGCGCCTAAGAAGCTATCCTAAACGAATGAGAGAGTTGTTTCAATTCAATTCAAGCTTTATTGTCCACAAATATTACAACAAATATTGTACTGCTTTGCTTATAGTATCTGCTCATTATATCAGCAAACGTTTTACTGTCTGCTCTAAAATGTAGTTTGTATTTTTATACATGCTTTAAAATAAGTTTTATAAAAACAAAATAACAGCACACCACAAAAGCATAAGAACAAAATTTTGGGAAAAGAACTTCATGGCTCCATACCTATTAATCTGTTTCTTATCTGTTAAACCCCGTTTTCAAATGTGACATTTCTAATGTTCAGACAGGGCACAAATTAAGTACAGTCAAACGTGGATGTTGTTATTACCTTTAGATGGGAAAATAGGAAACAATGTTCCCAGGAAATGGATTTAAAAACAAAGCTATTACAAATTAGGGTGGATGGTTACAAAAATGGAGGAAATTAGGAACTGACGGGGCTAATTAATCAATAAGAAAATTAAATAACCATAACCACAAATTTGTTAAGATTTCACAACAAATATACTGGAGCTGTTGGTGTAGTTTGAGGCACGCGAGTTCTTTGTTCTCTGGCACAGCTTTGGTGAAAAGAGTAATACATCAGGCACATTTGGTTAAACAAGTATTTATTAACAATGACAGTGCCACACACTAAACTACACAAAGTGTAAACATACAACCTACAAGTTACCCTGCGTACAAATTTACAAATAAGGCATCCCAGAAGCCTATAGTCCTAACCACCCAGAAAACCCCAGACTGCTTATCAAGTGTTCTTATATATATATTTAAGTCATATTTAGTGCCTACAAAGATAAAAAATAAGAGATAAGCTACCTTCTAAACTAAATAGTATGTACCTATCTCCCTATTCTAAAAATGCACAAACAAGGAAAGGCAATTTTAATCGAGGGATTCTTTACACAGGAGATCATTGTTCCCTAAAAAACACAGAATAGCAAGCTCTCCTAACAAGGATCAAATACTTCACTCCAATCTGGTCTTTCAGGGTGACCTGGAACAAGGAGCTCTCGCCTTGGATATCTTCCTTTTTCTCTTCCTGTCTCTCCCCTTCACTCTGCTTCACCATCCTTATAGATGGTGTCTCTCTGCAGAAGTTGATTGACACTTAATCATTGACCCAGAGCTTAATTAAATAAGGTAAACCCAGGAAGGTTTTGATTGCTGTGGTCACTGAATCTGGAATCCCTGCATCTCAGCAAACACCCCCTGTGTTTTGAAGCTGGTAATATTTACACTGCGAGGTGATTTACCAATCATGGCCTACTAATAATCCCCCTCTATGAATTGGCTTCATCACTCTGCTCTCCACCCCACTGATAGCTGATGTGTGGTGAGCGTTCTGGCGCACTATGGCTGCCATCGCATCATCCAGGTGGCGCTGCACATTGGTGGTGGTGGAGGGGAGTCCCCATTACCTGTAAAGCGCTTTGAGTGGAGTGTCCAGAAAAGCGCTATATAAGTGTAAGCAAATATTGTAATAATTATTATTATTTTTATTATTTTATCTACTTTCTTAGAGACACTTCCATAGGCATCTATACATTTAGAACTTTATAGATGTTGAATGAGATTCTGAACATGCTTGTAAAATGCTTGTAAAGATAATTTTTACAAATGTCTGCAATTTCGTACATTTTTACAGATTAAATAATCTTCAAAAGCAGCACATAAGAATTTAAAATGCTTACGGTTTATGAAAGAGGTGATAGTGTCATACAGCACGAATGTAGTTTTGTATCTCCAGCTGTTATTGCACAATACCTTATGTGGAAAATGCCCATTAACAAGACTGAGTAGTCAAGGTGAACATTACCCATTCTGACAGTTGTAATTGTAGTTCTCAGTAACAGCATTAGCCTTTGAGCTTTATTTATACTGACATGTTTTTTGTATATCTTTTCTTTTCCTTAAAGTATCAAGAGGTTATGGGCTGATGATAATGTGTTCGTACAAATATCCTGTGTCGCATCTTTTTTTTCCGTGCCGGATAATCACAATGTTATTTGAATTTCTCCCATTAGTACAAAGCTCAAAGTTAAACTATTGTTTATCACATTGCTGATCAAGGGAAGCTACCATTCTTGAGTTAATTCAACTAAAATACTTAAACCAAAATTCTGATGAAACACTAAAAGTAAGACAGTGTGACTGCAAAAGGAAATCTCAAAGTTTTATTTGCAATAGATGCAGTTTAGGCTTTGACTGTAGTTGTGCACAGATTTTTGAAAAAACACTCGGTTTATTAAACTTTAATATCCCTTTTGCAGTTGATGATTAAATCACTTATGTTGGTTGATGTTATCCTATTACTCTCTCAATTATGCACACTGAATTCATTAAAGTTTTTATGGTGCTCAATGATTTGCTCAAATCACACTTGACGGTTGGAAGAACACTGTTTTTTTTCATTACAGTAATTGGATTACAGGCTTTGTCCTTCACTCTCCCCAAGAGGAGACATCATGTGTTCTTATTTCTTGCCCTGTTAAAACAGGTTTCTGCCACCTAAATGAGGTCAGGAAGAAAGGCAACAGGGTTTTCCCATGTCTCGAGAAATTCTTTAACTTTATTATAAAAAGATGTGGCTCCAGTAGCTTTGACACTGAACTAAAGCAGGGTGTTTCTCGTTTAAGTAATATTTTGTTTCCTTTTGTGTTTGAATAGCAAAGCCAGCCATTCAAAGAGCGTTAATGCCATCACCAATGAATTAGTGTTCCAAAAGCAATAACAATTAGAAACATTTAGAACAATAACATACTATTATTTGAGAGTCTCACTCGCTGTTTTTCAGGCTGTGACAGGAGATACCATTCTAGGCTGCCATTTCTATTGAGCAGAGGTCTCAAACTAAGTATACCTTAGGGCATATGCCACCTCCTAAATCTTCCTAACGGGGCAGTAGTGCCACTGAAGATGGTTTTCAGAAAAAGTTTTGTGTCAATTCAAATGCAAAAACTGTCACATAACTATATACAGTTCTCTAGGTACTTGACAGAGAGATTTTAATAATAATAATAATAATTACTATTATACTAATTACTATTTATTATACAAATTACACCACCAATATGCAGCCCCCACCTGGATGATGCGATGGCAGCCATAGTGTGCCAGTACACTCACCACACACCAGCTATTAGTGGGGAGGAGGACAAATTAATGAAGCCAGTTCATAGATAGGGATTATTAAGAGGCCATGATTGTTAAGGGCCAATAGGAAATTTGGCTAGGACACCGGGGTCACACCCCATACTCTTTTCGAGAAATGCCCTGGGATTTTTAATGACCACAGAGAGTCAGGACCTCGGTTTTACATCTCAGCTGAAGGATGGCGCCTTTTTATAGACTCTCACAGACTGCAGGGTGAGCGCCCCCTGCTGGCCCCACTAACACCACTTCCAGCAGCAATGTTTAATGTTTGCTATATTACATACACAGTAGATACATACAGATTTGCCAACAGTGTGTTCTGTCATTTTTTATGTTTGGCCTCAGTGAAGGAACAGTTAGAACATTCAGGATTGCAGGAAAGACAAAATTAGATAATTGTTTTCAGTATTGATATGTTTCTCTGTGGAAAAAAAAAGTTTCTTACAAATATAAACTGAAAAACAAGGACTTGATTTTTTGGATTGCTCTGCAAAGATCTGGGAAGGAATGGTTGGAAGAATTGTGACATAAATAATTTCTTTGAATTTCGTCTTCAACTAAGTTTGTCCCATTTATAAATCACTAGGTGCTGCTTCCAGATCAACAGAAAATGGATATGCAAACATCACAAAGCTTTCTCCGTGTATCTTGAAAACAACAAAACACTGACCAAAATTTTAAAAAGTGGCCAGGGGTTACTAGTGTATCAATAACACCCTGTCAATGACCCTGTGTGACAGCAACAATTTTCACTGTCCCTTATTCCATCCTACATTGTTGGCAAACTGGCAAATTTCAATTACTACAACATTTGGATCGTCCTCTCTCACAAGTATGACAAGCTGTGCAGTGCCAACCAAATCGGTTCTCTCATCAAATTGCAATTGAATATGCACCTTACTTTTCTTGATGAGCTGCTCAACCATTTTACTAGAGATGTCAAGAACGTTTTCTGCTGTTGTATTTGGAGATTGGCTGGTATTGCTGAAAAGAGACCTATCACTGATTTAAGACATTTTTTAATAAATTCACTATCAGTAAATGGCTTCCCATACTCGGCAGTCATTTTACTCATGATATAACTTGCTCAAACTGCCAAAGTTAAAAATAACTGCATGTTTCAATTGGTAATGCCATTTAATGTTGTAGTATTTAAAAATGGCAATTTTGCCTCTGCAGATCAAGCATGTGGCAGTCTGTACTCAATTGCAAATCAGAGGTTCTAGTCGCTAGCAGGATAAGGCACCTTCACAGCTCCAATTTTGCACTTCGAAACACAGCGGAAAATATGGTTGCTATGGTTTCTAACTATTGTCGTACATGAGTTATGTGTCAAAATACGTTAGTAATATGGTATGGTAGTACTATTTTAAAGCAGTACATTAAAATAATATAGTTATACGCTTGCTGCAATTTGCAAGCCGATCATGGGCCTGATTAAATATCTCACAAAATACTTTGCTGGCCAGATTGTTGAACTGCCCTCAGGCCCATCAACATGAGACACCTGCTAGTAAGTTTCCTCTCAGCTTCCCCAGTAAGATTGATAGCTGTTCAGATTCTGGAGTCTGATTATAGTCACATTTCACACAGTCCAATGCACTTTTATTGGTTTGTGGTTTATTAAGAGAGAAAAAATGTAGTTCAACTATTTATCACTGTAATAGGTTTTGCAAAAAAATTGCTTACCACTAGTGCCACTAGTTATTTTTCATTTTATAATATAAAATGCTCTTTTACAATTTTAAGCATGTATGCATTTAATGGTATTTGTATTTGTAATCCAGTGTTTTTGTGTAATTTCTTGATAACCTGCCTTCACAAAGTATGTTAGGAGTATGTTTTTGTAGCTGTAATAAAAAGCAAGAACACTAAACAAACAGTGCTGAATCCAGTTCAAAGAGGTTTTCAAGTAAAATCTGGGTTACGAGTAAAGAAATCAACAGTTCTGAGAAAGAGGCATTTATTAGAACAAGTGTTTCGGAGTTAACAGAGACAACCGTTTAATGAAAATCAGACAGCGCAGACGTGTCGGATCTCTAATGTCTGAAATACCCGAATGTATACCTGAACAAATTGTCCACACTTCCGTTAAAATCAAGTTTAAGCTTAAGCATGTTTTTTCAACACTCTATGAAACAAAAAAGGATCTGGCAACTCGAATAAGATGTTCCATGAATTAATTTGAGTTCTATTCACCTGTGATTACTTTTTAATTAGTTCTGTACCTTTATACTTATTACAAAATGCCTTTGGCTATGTTACAGTTGCTGAGCTCTTCCCTCATGACGTCAATCACTATTTTTAATTATAATCTTGATTCAAATGAACTCTTTCCAAAATGACCATATTGCTTAAGGCAAGTGTTGAGGCAGTTGTTTTGTTGGGGTGTTATATCGGTTATCCCAAATTGTAAAAGTTGTTTAGCTTTTAGAATCAAGATTCTGTTGTGGCGTTTCTGGAAGGGCAAGCATAAATCAAGCTAAAAATTAAACACCGCCGCATATCACAGAGGTAGAGTTTATTATTACTATTAATAATCCTGTCGCATTTATTTTTTTGGGATTATTTTTTACATTCTTCACAAGCAGTCAGTTTAGCAAAAACTGATTATTAGAGATTTTGCAGTTTGGGATATTTTTTTTTCCCTTCACCGTTACTCTGCTATATTTGAGGAATCAAGCTAAAGGTGTACTGTAGTTCCACCAACCCTAAGAACGGCACTTTTAATATGGATTAATTAATAGAATAAATAATTAACAGTACCGACAAGGTTTGATTAACATCGTTAATCTGAAGAAGTCCGGAGTTTTGTCTGATTGATTGGGCTCAATGCTGCTTTTGTGGTCTAAGTAATTTGTCCTATAAAGGAAGGTCTCTTATTCCAATTGGACCTAGGGGAAATTAGGCCAAATAAGCTTATTTTGCCAGATTTTGATAATCAGTTTTGCAGTGAAGGATTGTGGTTGTTTTTCTTTTTTTCTGTCATTAGAATGGGTGGGAATCTGATGCTTAAAAATGCTGCTACTAGGAGAATGAGACCAAAGACAAATTGGTAATTTATGTATAAACTGTGATTTCCATTAAGGTGCCCAGTGTATGGCATTTTATCTTAATGTACAGGGACATGTATATCGTGCAGTATATCTTGATAATTGAAAGTGGCCTGTGTGATCTCTTCTACAATGAAAAATCATCAGATCCTACTCACGGCACTGTGTAGTGTCTGAATCTCTCAAATACACATTTGAGCACTTAAGTGGTGGTAAATCATGAATTTCAGCTTTACTTACCCATTAGAAAAATGAAAAAAAAAAAATTCTTTAATGAAATATATATTTCTCAACACCGTATATATCATTTCAATCATTCATTATCTCTCATTTTGTATGGTGTTTTTTGTAAATCCAGTAAATGTAATACCTTACAGTAGGTGTAAATCTCTCCAAAAGACACCACTTTCACATTAATTTGCAGCTCCACAAAAGATATATCCACGTATATGTTCTGAATAAACAATAATTTCATTTATCTTAGGAAAATTGGAAAATGTGATCTGAGATGCTCCTAATTAATTTCAGTTAAGTTGGTACCTGGTCCCTTTTTCCGATAGACAATAATGACCAGAGTCCAGGCTACAGATCTGAGCCCCTATTCCTCTGTTTACCATATGAGGTCACATCTGCCAATGTTCTGACACACTGCAGGGGGAGGGTTTTATAATTTATGAAAACAGCACTACCCAGAGGGAACAGCTGCTGCTAATGTGTGGAAATAGGAGGAGGTCCAGAGAATCCCCACTGATAAAACTGTCTGCCTTCTGAGACTGTGAAATATGTGTGTCAGGTGTGTATGTTACAGGAAGAATTAATTAGATCCCGTATGCCTAAATATTTCAGTAAATATGTGAAACCTTTGATTAAATATCAACATATACTACTATAACATATACTACTTTTTTTTCTTTTGTTACTTTTATTTACCAACTCAGCAGCATATGGCTCCAATGTTGAAAAAGAATTATCTAAATATATACTCCCTCACTCATTTGATTCAGCAGAACAGATTCTGTTTTTTTTTTTTTTGCGGTGAATTAATACCTAAAGATTTCATTCAGTTATAGTTCAGCTGTTATTGCTTTAAAGGGATTTAAACAGGACAAACTTCAGACATAAAGTCTGTGTAGATTCCAGCCATTGGCAGACCTATTCTAATAGACTTTAAGGGAGAAAAATATTTTGTAATCTTCTGTAACTTGAAAAAAATTTTTATATCTGTTCAGACTTCAGTGCTTAGTTAAATCTACTAATGAATAATATGTGTCACACAAGACTGGTAAACCTAAAATGGTTTTAAAACTAAAACACCGCAAAACTTTCCCGAAGGTATCAGAAAACAGAATAGCTTGAAGTTGTTTTATTTGTCCCACTTGTGTCAATTTAATTTTGTGTGAGCTGTTACTCTCATTAGCCCATGGAGGTGTCATCTTTTTAATGAAGACATGGTGTACAGTAATTCTTAAGACAATACATACTGTAAGCAAACAAATATTTATCCACCTGCTTTCAAAACTCGAAGGACAGAGACGCCTCAGTGTGTATACAGTCTGTGTAAGATCCTCAGCAGAGGGAGATGGGATGTTGCTTGACAAAGTCCACATGCTAGAAGCTTTACAGTACTATTAGTCGTCTATCCCTTCAAGGTATTTGGACCAGAGTGGCATTGTGGGAAAGTGGTTAGCATTGCTGCCTCGCAGCACTGGGGCCCTGGGCTGAATTCCTGGGCTGCTATCTGCATAGAGTTTCTGTCTTCTTCCCTGTGTCTGCGTGGGTTTTCTCTGGGTGCTCCACTCCCCCCCCCCAGTCCAAAGACAGATTACCTGTCTTGCTAGATTGTGTTAGATGACTCGGCTTCTGTAACATTGGTCCTGGTGTGAGTGTGTCTGTATGCACCCTGGGATAGACTGGGGTCTCATCCAGGGTATATCCTGCATTGCAACTGTTGCTTACTGGAACCAGCTCTCTCCCCCACAACCCTGTACTGGTTCTTTGAAGCAGATTTGAAAGTAGATGGATATTTGAACCATGTTCTTTTGTCCTTTACTTCATACCAGTTCTGTACCTTGTAACTCAGCATTTACTAAGTGCATTTGCAAAAATTCCACCTATATATGGCTATTGTGCTCTGCAAAACGACAATAATTTGACAAGGTGTATTGATATACTGGATGTATATGATATACAGGAGTAGCCTCTTACAATATACAGTATGTAAACCTAGATTAAATTTTAATCTAATATGAAGTTACTAAATGTATCCACAGATTGTTCTCCAAGAGCACAGGTTTAAAGACTTTCAAACCATTATAATGAGGATTGAGTCGTAGCACATGCTCATGAAAAAACAGCGAATGAGTCTTTTTCACTTAAAAATATATCTGGGTCACAAACATTCTCAGTTCCCAACAGATTTCGTAACTTTGAAGCTCACTGTGTGTTTGCTGTATGGAGCATAATCAACATGGCAGTTATTTTTGTTTTCGGGTTGAGAAATAAAGCCCATGCGTGTATCTGAGCTATGAAAAAGGAGTTCACGGAGGTACTCGCATCGCAGGATTTCTTGTTATGTTTAAGACGAGCTTGCTGGTCTTCACTGGACAGCTTAACATAGAGAAGAGATGCACACTGGTGGTGGTGGAGGGGAGACCCCATTACCTGTAAAGCGCTTTGAGTGGAGTGTCCAGAAATTTGTCATGTGTTGTGTACATCTTTTTACCTGCCTAAAAAGCAGCATTGAATATAAATATACAGTATTGGAGCCTTCCATGTTTGTATGTTGTTGTTGAGCAGACAACTCCCAGATATATTCCTTGCTTGCATAAACAGCATAGTGTTTTTTCACTCTTTAGATTGGATAGAGAATAAACTGCTTCAAACGTTTTTCAGAAAGGCAGGAAAGTATACATTTCTCAACATGACATTATTCTGTCAATACTCTGAAGCTAATGATGGTCTTTATTGGTTTTAGCAAAGAAGAAAAAGCCAAAGCTCCTGAATAAATTTGATAAGACTATAAAAGCTGAGATAGATGCAGCTGAAAAGCTCCGCAAAAAGGTAAGGTTTTTAACATTCAACAGTTTGTCTAGTAATATGTCACATTTAAGCTGTAAAACAGCTTGGTTTGACTGTTTTGCATTGGCCCAGAAGTGCAAATCACAATTTGTGTTGGTGTTATGCACTCTTATTTTTGTTTGTGCTTCACAATACTGGGCCACCATACTATTTTCTGATAGACAAGTTTAAGTTCATGAAACATTCAGCATGCACATTTTTACTAACGAAATTGTTGTGTTACATTTATTTAATTTCACATTGCATCCTCTCCTGATAGCTTTTTAACTGATCTCTCTAAAGCAAGAAAGCATCAATTAAGAACAGTACCTGAAAGGAAAGCACAGAGATTAGAATTGACACATCTGCTGATGATAAAGATAAGAACTCCTGTAATCTGTAATCTGTAATTTACTTATCCTGATTTTGTTGTTTTCAGGGTATTTGCAGATCAGAAAGCAGGGTGTACATTTCGCTCAAGTCTGCATGTTGAGATTATTTTTTAAAATATTTTTCACAGGGAAAAATTGAAGATGCACTCCAAGCTTTTGAAAGTCTCATCAGTAAATACCCTCAGAGCCCCAGAGCCCGATATGGGAAAGCACAGGTAAAATCACAGCTGACTACCAGTGGATGTGTTCTTTACTGATCGTGGTCTTTCAACAAAATAATCTATTACTCTGTAAAAGTTTGACATGAACTGTGATATTTTGGATTTTGTGTCCTTTTTCCTGGAGACAAGATGGTCCTGAAGAACCGTTAAATAAAAGTAAACGCCACTTTGCATCTGTTCTCTTACATACTCAAAAGAATCATTGTATTGCAGCATCATAAGACAGTATCTAGAAACTGAATTATTTTTGATGAACTTCCATTTCTGTTGCTTTTGTCAGGAGCTTCTGACCTTAGTATTATGTTATTTTGCTGGTCAAATATGCCACATGACGGGCATTTAATATGCGTGTCTATTAGACAAGCACTTATGCCGATACTACTGTGTCATTGAACAGTCTGAAGACGACCTGGCAGAGAAAATGAGAAGCAATGAGGTTCTTCTCAAAGCCGTCAACACTTTCAGAGAGGCGGCCGAGTTGCCCAACGCCCCAGCTGACCTGGTGAAGCTGGCCCTCAGACGACGTGCCGAGAGACAGCAGTTTTTAGGTAACCCCCTCCTGTCACGAAACCCTTGGTTTTCTTTTTCCTATGCATGAAAAGTCACAGATCATTTTGCTGTGGACTCACCCGAATCTGGAAGAGACACTTTTGTCGTTTTCGTGGCTCGGCTAGCAGCTGCCACACCCCCGGGCTCTCACACGAGGGAAGTGCAGACCGTCGGGCCTTCGAAGCTGTTTTAGATAGATAGATAATACTTTATTAATCCCGTAGGGAAATTGATGTGTTACAGCAGTCCAGCAAAAACAGACATCAGAATAGTTATAAAACAAAAGACATCAAAATAAATAAAAATAAATAAATACATAGGTGTGTGCAAAATATGATGATCATAGTCACTGTAAAAACAATAAAATATGTGCAAAATGTGCATAGGTTTATACAGACTGATTGTCCAAAAAGTACAATGGAGCAAACATGCTGTCCATGGACGAGCAAATGAAGGGCTAACAGTCCTAGCCTAGGGCAGAGTTATACACCCTGACAGCCACCGGGAGGAAAGACCTGCGGAAACGTTCCCTTGAACACCGTAGCCTCCAAGTTGTCCCCATGTATGAGTGGCTTGCACTTGCCCTGTGATGGACTGGTGTCCTGTCCAGGGTGTACCCTGCCTTGTGCTCTTTGCTTGCTGGGTAGGGTCTGGCTTCCCGCGACACCATATGGTATAAAGCGGTTTGGCAAATTACATGACATGACATTTATTCCCACGGTTAGCTAGTTTTCTTTCATGTGTGTACCTGAGTATCCCTATTTTAAATAATATGTTTTAGTCTTTCTAATGAGAATGATTCCTACAAATTGGTTTTTTTTTTTGCATTTCACTGTGATTTGTCGAAAAATAAATAAAAAATGGTATTTGTACTTCCTGGCAGCTGTACCTTCTCAATAAAGCTATCATTTTACAGAAAATTTTACTGCATTGAAATGACATATTCAGTGTCTTTCATTTCCATATCTGAACAAGAGCCATATATGTTCTATTTTCACTTGACATGGAATGGTTAATTTCCGTTTGACCGTGTAGGTCGCATGCGAGGTGCTCTTGTGACGCTGGAGAAACTGGTGCAGCTTTTTCCTGAAGACATTTCCCTGAAAAATGACCTGGGAGTGGGTTACCTGCTCTTGGGAGACAACAAAAGTGCGAAACAAATCTATAAAGAGGTACATAGTTTTGCTTACTCTATCCACTGAAACTCTCCAGTCTCCAAAGTCTTCACGTGCAACTCATAAGGCCGTTTTTTAAAGTTGAACGTTTTTATATTTCAGGGTTAGAACGAATCAGCATTGCTGAGTGCATTTCAAATCACAAAAAAAGTAAAATGTAGACAGTAGCTTGTAAAACCTCCAATTTACATAATAATATAGACTGAATTTCCAAGTATGGGCTGCGCCATCTTCTGCGATTCAGAATGAGGGAATAAGCTTCCAGTGATGTGATGCGACCCTATTACATTGTAAAGAAGAAGGCTTGTGAAGCAGGCCTCTTTTCCAAGTTGGAACAATTTGATGTCAGAACATTTCTGTGGAGAAAAGTCTGCTGCAAAACCTGTCCTTGTTCGCTCGTACATTGGATGGTATTAGTCATTAAGGTGACTAGTGAGCAGGAAGGGACGCATCACGTCACAATCCGTGGGAACTCAGATGCAAGTTTGCAGCAATATGGCAGCTATTGCAGTACTTTCACAAAAACCTAATTTGAGATGTGTAAAATTTTACTATAAGGTCAAAGAATTTATTTTGTTGCCAAGATTTTATAACCCGTCTGAGAAATTGGGGCTGCCGTTCTTCTTTAAAATTGGAGCCTAAAATTTCATCTCTGAACTTAAATAGAATACTACCATTTTTTCAGTGTTTTCATTTTTATCTGTGACCGACAATTTCTTTCAACCAAATGTGAGCAAGATTAGATATCTTTTAACTCATCTTAATGTTCACTCATTGTAAAGTGATCTAAACAGCTGTCCTTGCCAACATCTCACAGCTCCATGTGGGTGGATTAGATGTAGAAGTGGGATGCTTTTTTAAAACCACAAGGATACTTGTGTCTGACACTCATTTGTTTTGCTTAGAGATGCAGTAAATGGATGTTTTTATGGACATCCTACAGATAATCTTCTGAAGGTGTTGAGAGAGCAATGCAGTGAACTTTCTATTGAGAACAATGAAGAATCCTTGTGTTATTTTTGACAATACATTTGACCCTTCCATACATGCAAAGATTGGTTTTCTCTTTGCAGTTTCAGCATAATAACCGCAGATCTCTGTTAAGGCAGACATACTTGAAGGAACAGTTTGTCTATAACTTGTGGAAACTGTGCCATCAGAATGATGTTGATGTAAATAATAAGGAATATGTCCCAGATATTGTTGGATATCTTCATGTACTGATGGCCAGCTGTTCTTTCTCTGTTGGCTATAGCGTTTTATAAGTAATGTAGGAGGAATTAAATGTTGTATCTCCTCATCTATCAGGAATTATTTGCATAGATATTTGGCAATATATACAAAGGTCACAGGATACTTAATAGTTTCAGTTTTGCCAAATGTTCTTTTTTAGCTTTTGTAGTCCTTGTGGGTTTTGAGCTTAATGTAAATTTCTTTAAAAAGTTTCAAAGATCATGTGATATTTCTTCAGACTTGATCAAAGAAAATTAATTGAATGAACTATAGTCCACAGAAGGTATCAGTATTAGACTTTTGTGGGGAATGCCTAAATAGACTGAGCATTTCAGTAGCCCTTTTTCAGCAGTTTAGGAGGTAGTGTTTCTATATTTGGAACCAGGATCCCTTGACTGATGGGAGATGTCAAGATGAGTGAACAACACAAAACAGCACTTGGAAGTTCAGAGCTTTCTTATTGCTGAGTTCCTTGCATCTTTAAGCCATAAGTCATCTGTTGTGGCTTAAATGTATGATTGCTGTTATGCAGCTGTTATCCCAGAAAGAACAGACTAATCAAATTCAGGTGTTTTTCTGCAACACATAAATACTAATGATAGTCATGTTTTATTTTTAGGTCTTATCTATAGTGCCAAATGACGGCTTTGCCAAAGTTCACTATGGTTTCATCCTTAAAGCTGAGAACATGATAGCTGAAAGTATTCCATACCTGAGGGTAAGTAAACTGTGGAAAAAACATTCTCTGACCTCAACACTTCTGATAAAATACTAAGGTGTTAGAAATTAGAAAGAAACATTGCTGAAAAATATGTGGTTTTACTAATTTAATGTTTGGTGTTCTAATAGAACAATAATGAATGTTATATCAGAGTAGAAATCAATATAATCTTATTAATTTAAAGTTTGGTGATTTCTGAAACCACACAGGATCAGGATTAAAAATTTGGAACCAACCAAGCTGATGCCTTTAAATATACAGACATTCTCTGTTGCTATATGTTAGGTTTAGTCAGGTATTTGTATCTGTTTATTTATGGGCACTATCACTTACTGTGGGATTAAAGTAGTTTATTATACTGTGCTTTACCATACATTTTTAATGAAATATGCCAGAATGGCAGAAAATATTTGGATTAATAATAGAAACATACATAATATTTAACAGATAAACTGCAGGTTTTATTAAGTGTCTCTAAATGGGCATTAATGAAATGAGATGAAATTTTGATGTCAAACTACTTTTCCGACCCAGAGAATGAAAATCACACACTGTTATCTTGGACTCTGAGATCTCTTCTGATTTACCTCATTCTCTCAATAGAAACATATTTCATCATCTGGTAAATCTTGTCAGACTATAACATTATCTAGCTACATCTAGTTAAGTTTGTGTATGCGTTTCTTACTTATATACCTGTGTGTCTTATATAAAAAAGGCTCTAGTTTCAGAAGAATCAGGCTGTTATATTTCTTAGCACTTTACTCTTGTCTTTGCTTACCTACATTGGTCACCAATGGCGTTACGATCTGCTGTTTAAAACTGCTGCTGTAAAATATATTAATGATGATCTCATCCAACAGATACAATTTTCATGTTCTAAACTTATTTGCGGACAATAAATGCAGATGAGCTCGACCTGTTAATAAAGTACCTGCCTTTGCCTGCTGTACCCTAGATTTTCCTGATTGACAGGTTCTTTATATTGATTTAAAATGATATTGAATTGTGTATAATAACCTGGAGTGGATCCTATTCATGGGCTTAACTACCTTTTTAAAAAGGCAAAAGCTGCACTTAAGGACTTAAACATTACATCTCCATGAATTGGTGTTTCATATTATTCTGAAGCGTTAATTTATACTTAAAAAAATTACAATAACAATAGGTCTTAACCTATTAGCGACGACCGTTGAACTGCTATTTTACATTTTACAGGAGGGACTAGAATCTGGCGATGCAGGAACCGATGACGGCCGGTTTTATTTCCACTTGGGGGATGCCCTGCAAAGAGTCGGCGACAAAGATGTCAGTAAGATGTTCTAATAGTATAAATCAGTATTGTTCTGGAGGGAATGCACCTTTTTCATTATTGCTTTAATAAACATTCTGATATAGCAGTTTATTTATTTTTGTGCCAGAAACCTGCTGCTCAGCAGTGTACAGAAATCAAGTACAGTATTTAGCATTCATACATTCACAAACCCATGAAGAAAAGATCTATATGTAAAGAAATATTACACTGAAACATATTCTTACGTGTTATATAAATCACATAATCTTCACATACATTGTGAAGTGGAACAATACTTCTGTCTTCTTCAGAATGCCCAGAAACCATGTGATACACATTGCTGGTTTTCATTCATGACTGCTGGGGGCTGTCTAAGCTGTGTATCCTGTCTTTTAATGCGGTGTCAGGATTCCTACCTTTTGATTAATATGGTGACCCATCTGTATCATAACAATATGCTTAATTGTGATACAGTCTTGATGTTTTTATATGTTACACACAGTGTCCATTCTCCCTTCAATTTAAAGATGGCAGGCGTCTTGCTGTGAAAAGCCAGCTACTTGCCTGGACTGTCAGTTTCTAGTTCCCAGGAAGGGGCAGGTGTTTCCAGTACTTGTTGATGGGTGTGTGCTACTACTGTTTACTCAGCTGGCTTGCTCTTACGTTTTGTCAAGATGTATGGGTCTGTCTTCATGCGAAGCAGTGAATCATTGCTAATAACTGCATGCTTTCTCAAGAATCTCAAAGTCAGAAAGCAAAATACTGATGTGTAAACAGGGGGATAAATAACAAGACCTATACTAACTTCTTTTAGGCCTACAAATGGTATGAAATTGGACACAAGAGAGGACACTTTGCATCAGTATGGCAGCGATCTCTGTACAATGTGAATGGACTGAAAGCCCAGGCTTGGTGGACAGCTAAAGAAACTGGCTACACAGATCTCGTAAAGGTAAAAATGTCTCAGTATGTCGTATTGTTTCTAAACAATTTACCGTGTTTTGGACTGGTTTTGAAATGTCAAACAGGCACATTTTAATTTGCCGATTTGCTACAGGCTTACATAGCAATTGAAAATTGTATAATGGTTTATATCTTTCATTAAATGATGATATGATGGTGTTCATTTATTGCACAACTAAATGCACTTTAGTTGTCTAACACATCTTTTGTGCTTTGTAATGGAAGCATGTAATTACTGGTATTTTGTTGGTTTATTTACTGGCACTGTAAATATACTGGTATATTTAATTTTTGGTAGTTCCAAAAGCACACTTTTTTATAAATGTTTAGTACATAAACTTTTTCTGACATTAAAACAATATTTTTAGAAAATAAATTTTAAACAGCGCCAGTATTCCACTATGAAATAATACAGTGTTTTACAGGAGATCTGTGATTATTTTTAGGCAGAAGACCAGAAATATGTGTTGTCTTTCAGAGGCCAAATAACTGAAGTATGAAGTACAAGACTTACCTGAGCAATGATTTCTTTGTTGTGTTCTCTCAGAAATATAGCATGTGTCGCCCTAAATATAAATGTTTTAAAATAAGACGTTGATAGACATCACGGTTTGTTGAAGCTGTATTGATCAAAGGCATTTTGTATTTCTGGAACAAAAAGGAAACCACAGCAGAAGACATTTCATACTGACGTATATAATTACGAGGGGGACAGAGGAGTAGAGATAATGGCTGTTCCTTTTTCTCATTCAGGACCTCCTACCACTTTTGTGTGTGTTTTTTTGTATCGTAATGCTTCATCTTTCTTCAGTGCCAAGAGCATGACTAAATGCCAGCACACTGCTGCACCTGCTGTATTATTTATCCACCTGTGAAGATGGTCTGTGCTGTAATCCTTTTGAAACCAGTGATGTCATCTATTGCTGCCATTTGCCTGCTCATATTTGATTTTCTTTGCGTTTTTCATGAAGGTAGCTGTAGTCTAAGGAAAATTTTGATTATGTATTCTTATTATTATTTTAGATTCTCAAGTACTGTACAGATTACAAAGCCTCCTGGCTACTCTGTGTTACACTAGATTTTTAGTTAAGGGCAATTCTCTCTTATGTTCTCTGGGCTGGAAATTCTTTATTTTCATTTCTTGTTTATGACAATTGCAGGCAATATAAAGAGTAATGTCCAGGACTGCATATGCAGTAGTATGAACTTTTTGCGGAACATATTTTATGTTAAAATGATAACAGATGAACTAGAAAAAACAGTTCTATGGTTATGCACATCCTACTGTAAACACATTTTTAACCTTATTCTTATTATTCTTATCTACTATCAGTACTGTTTTTAACTTAACCCCTTTGCTGGTCTCTGCAACAGGAAATAATGTGAATTCATGAAATTCAAAAAGGCTGAAGAGCTTAGATATTGTTAAGGTACACTCACTAATTATGCTCGTCTGTGGCACACAGTTTATCTGTGTCTTATTTTGTATGTGTAATTATAATTGAATCATGCGACTCATTTTTATTGACATCAAATAGACAGAATGATTTTTGGTTGCAGATACCTACTGTACATGATGTTACAATTACCTTTTTTAAACTCTGAAACAGTAAAGGTAAATCATAAAAATACTTTACCTTAATGCTAGATGTAAAAGTCATTTAGGCAATACTATTTATCTATCTAAATGTAAAAATAAACCATCCATGAAAGATTTTGTCATTGAAAATTAAGGACCTTAATCTTTGAAGATGCAGTTTTGCTCTAAGTACCGTGTAAATATTGAATTATTTGAGTAAATACCTTCAGTAAATCTTCTGGCCACAGTACAACTGAAAATCACACTTGGCACTCTAGTGCCTGGATGTTATCCATCTTCTGCTGCATTGACAGGTGTCTACACCTGTAAAATTGTCATATAATAGTGATTAGATTGCATATCATAAAACGAACATAGCTTCAAGTACCACATTTTTTTCAGAACAGTAAAAATTGAAGTTCAACAAGGAACAGATTCCAATACAGCTGTGCAGGAAATACCAGGGATTCATTAACGAAATGGCAGCAAAAGATGTACAGTATGTATCGCAGCTGACATTTCTTACTTTCTGCAGTATCACCACTGGTCATGAACTGGGCTTAGAGATATTTTGCACACTTCATTTGTATGTCAGCCATTTGTGCTGTAATGTCAGTTTTGGAACCTGAGGGTGTATTTGGAGTAGAAAGAAAATAGTAACTTATTGTTGCCTTACACTGTAAACATTAACTCGAAACGACATTTCAATGGATTGAAAAAGCAAGAAGTCTCTGACCTGAACTGACAGCTTTGGTAACAATTGCTGTGGATAATAGATGCAATGTTGTGGACTATTTCCAGGGCCTTAAATATAGACAGACCTAGGGGTGAAGTAGAAGCTAGGGCAAATGAAAGGTTGCTGTTAACATTTGTCTGTAACAACAGCAGGCTGATTACTTGTTTATGGCCAAAAGTCCTCTAGTTAATTCAATGAAATGTAACACCTGTGACACTTTGTTGTTAGAATTTGAAAGAATCTGAAGAAGTTGTTTTTTGTCCTTAGTTCTGACTTGTAATATGCATGAAGACAATAGAAAAAGTAAATCAGTTGAATACATTGCATTTTTAACTAAAATTCACTGATTCACAAGGCTGTGGCAGTGGACTGTTTTCTGTCCACTTTTAAATTCACAAATAGTGTTATTGTGGTCGGTTTTATTTTTCTAACATTTCTTAGTTCCTGGCAGAATATTTGATTTAATGTTTTCTGGTAGAATACCCCAAGAGCTGCAGTTCCAATTTCTCAGAATGGTAATTCAATCTTGGTAACAAAATAAATTAATTCTTTAATAATTAATTTGACAAATTCTGAATTAAGCACAAAATCGTGAACTTTTTTGAAAGTAACATTATAGTCACCATGTTATCGCAAACTGATGGTCTGGCCATATGAGAGAGTAAGAGTGTGAGAATTGTGAGAATTGTGACATAAACTAGCCCTTCCTACTCGCTAGTCACTGTAATGACTAATGTAAATCATGTACAGGTAGTGAAAGCAGACATTTCACTGCAGAAATGTTTCAGGGTAATCTGTATGCACAGTTACAGTAACAAGTAGTGTTTGTCAGAAAAGCATCTCGAAGTTAATAGCAATATTTTTATTGGATTAAAAGAGACGTATTCACAAACCTACTTGTTTACAATGTAATGGGGCTACTTCATCTCAACAGAAGTTTTGTTGCCATCGTAGACAATGATGGCAGTATGGCACTGTGAATACCTGGAAACTTTGTCTATTTTGTTATGTAAATTAGATGTTTTACAAGTTACTGTGTACGTTTTACTTTCATTGTGGTTTGAAATGCACTCATCAATGACGATTTGTTCTGACCCCGAAATATAAAAATAGTGTTTCAGTTCCCCTTTAATCATCAGCTTCCAAGCTGGAGAGCTAAAATAGCATTTTGAAAAAAGGCTGTCAAAACACACACTGTTCCTTCTAAAACAGAAACCATTTTCCTTAGTGTTTTTCTGTTATCTATAAATTTATTTAATTTGGCAAAATATTTGAGTGTACGTTGCATTTGCATGGTACATAATTTACTCTCCTTTTGTTGGTGATCATATACAGTAGATCTATAGAAATGAGAAATGAATGTCGCACCCATTATCAGATCAAAAGAGGATTATTACCAGCCGTGTCAGTCTAAGCGTGATCCCCAGTGCAGTCACATGGTACCTCTCCCTGTGCCTGTGGTACGCTCTGTGCCTGCTGTCGTGCTGGAACAGACTGGGCCCTGACTCGTCGATGAGCACAGTGCGGTGCCAGACTGCGATTGGCCAGTTTCTGCTGGAAAGTCTTGGTGCCCAGACATGTCACAGTGCCTTGTGCTGTGCTGGTTGTTCAGCAGGGAGCTGCCATGTAGACTCTGGTCTTCATCCTGGGGGGGGAGGGGGGGGCTTTCTTCCTGTGCTGGAGCTGACCTGGCTGTTATCTATACATTTGTTTAATTTGGCAAAATATGTCAGTGTTTTCTTTTTATATCACTATGTAACTCTTCATTACGTGTATTTTTAAATGGTACATACCATTTACATGGTAAATAATTTACTCTTCTTTCTTGGTGATCATATGCAGTATATATATATATTACAAATTAATGCTCGCACCCATTATCAGATCAAAAGTGAAGGCGGGTTTGGGCTGCAGAGCCACGTTTGTCCAGGAGAGGCCTCTATCGGATACTACTTATATTAGATATTAGATATATTACTAGTACTAATCTCTCAGAAGGGTGGTGACCGGCTGTGCCACTGGCCAGTGAGCGAAACTGGTCTGAATTTATCACAACTGAAGGCTTTCTACTGTTGACCAGGGCCACCAACGAGTGTCCTGTGGCAGCTGTAGCAATTTGATTCAGCTGTGATGAGTTCATGGCATCCCTGGCTTTTAATACCCATTGTCACTGATGCAGTAATCCGCGAACATCACCACTATCACATCCACATTTGCACATCTGCGATCTATTCTTCCATATATAGTGTTGTATCAAGTGACCAAGATGAGTTTTTTAGTATTTGCGAATACATATGTCTGGGGGAAATTTTGAGGCATTTGTTGTGTGTTTTCATGACCCTCAGAATACATATGTTTTAAACATCTACTTTTTATTTGCATGTATATTTACATTTGTTTTACCATCTAACAACTCAATTTCTCGTGGAATGAAAAACACAGTAAGTTCATGTATCTATATAAAACTTGTTTTTTTTTAATGACAGAAGAGATTTCTAGACAAAACCTAAACAAAATCAATGACAGGAAAAAATATCAGAGAAAAATAAAGTTCGGGAATCACAACGGAGGATGAATGCAAGCACTCCCAACAGAGAGTGATACTAATATGACTTTGAACACAGTGTTTAATGGCTGTCTTGAAACCTAAGATGATTAATATAAGTTTGATGTACAGCATAAGGGGTGAATGGCCTCTTTTAATTTGTAAACTTGTATTAAACTATACAAATTGTATCAGAGAGATCACTGGATCCACACAATGAAAAATGGACAGTTTTCTACTTTAAGAGTATACATTTCATTCTCTAAGTCGGTGGGTTGTCTGAGAGCTGAGAGGATTACAGTCAACAGAGCCTCAGCAGACCCCATTATTCTTATCCCCACTGCAAGTACCAGGCCTGGTGGAAACAGTTGCTAAGGAAGCGTCAGATAAGAAAACTGCTGATGTATCCATGTCAGACATACAGGCGTCTCAATGACAACAATCCTGGCACCAGAGGTAACCTCTTGAAAGAAGGTGCAGTGGACATACAAGATGGAAATTATATAAGAATGTAAATAAAGACCTCAGGAACAATGTATAATGTACAAGCAAGTCTGGTATAATTTCTTTGCATCTGTAACCATTCTTAATATGTTTTTTCTTGGAGCCTCTCTGTCCTCACTTTGAAAATTGACATTTCGCGTACTCCATATGATCGTGTGCCAGTCTAACCACACTCTGTTCTCCTAGACACTGGAGAGAAACTGGAAGATGATCCGCGATGAGGCTCTGTCAGTGATGGACGCTGAGAGAGGGCTTTTTGCACCCGAAGATGAAAACCTGAGAGAGAAAGGGGAATGGGGTCAGTTTACACTCTGGCAACAAGGTAGGTCGTAACATCTATTACTAACAGGTCCTGCTGTACCACACCACAAGCGTTAGAATCCAGGGTCAGACTGAAAACCAAACCGACTCACATTTGTGAATGTGTGAGCATGTAAAAGGCAGCTACCAAAATATGAGCTTTATTAGCATTCTTGATTATAGTATCTGATTGGAATAAAACCTCTGACTCAGCAAACATGTAAACCCTGTCAGTCCTTTTCTGCAAGGCAGCTGAGACGTGTTCAAGCGTGTTCTAGTGTGAGGAAATTATGCATTCCGTCTTTTTTTTAGTTGTTACTCAATGAAGCTGGTTAAAGACTCTTGAAATTGAAGACTTAAAGACTTCTGTTCTCTTGCGATAAACGGTTACATTTCTGTACTTTTTCACTCTAAGGAGAAAATGACACCCTTTTTTCTGCACTAGTATTGATGTTGTTATTCCTGCCCCAGCGTTGACCTCCAGTCCTCCAATCAGGAGCTTAATCAGCGAAGTGATCCAATCAGTGCCTTGCGTGTGCCCTTTGGGAGCAGTCAAACCCATGGATACAGTTCCCATTAATTGAATGTGAGAACTCATAATTGACAGACAGACACAGCAAGCTATTAAAGTAACATCTCAATGGAGCACGGTATGGTGCCACATTACATATCCTTTTGAAATAATGATTTCAAAAGGCTAAGGTATTTATATTGTCATGTTCAATGAACACACACTGCTTTAATGAATTCCTGTATTATTTTTTGGAAAAAAGACAATGGTGAGGGTAAAACACATCACCTGCGATCTTGTCGAGCTGGTGGTGTGGTTCAGTTTGCTTGTCTTTTATGTTTTTAATAGCTGTCTTTCACAGAATAAATAATCACACATGATTCATTTATATTCAGATTTGTTTAGTTATCATTTAGCTTCTCTGGCTTATGAAATATTCAGCAAAGCTGCATAATTGTATCACAAAGTGCCAGGGCAGATGAACTGTTTGAGCTTTGAAAAGGAAAGCACTATGGTAAATGAGCAAATTGTTTCATTAAACAAAAATTGAGATTAAATTGCATCTTCCTGGTGACAATACTTAATTCAGCTTTTGTTTTACTTTATTCTTTTGTTTTAAATTGTTAAAAGGATAAACTACCCCGGAACAAAACAAGTTTTAAATGAGCTTTAAGACTAGTATTAAATATAATTTAAAAGAAAATAACATAAGCTGTTGAATTGTTTATGTTGTTATAGAGAAATGTGTTTTGTTAACCTGTATAGAATCAACAGCGATCTAACATAGTCTCAACTTTATGCCCGTAAGTTAAATTTGTGTAAAATCCTTATCAACACAGCTTTCAGGTCAAGTATATGCCTTGCTTGTGCTTTTCAAGCTGTACTTTCTTTATTTTACTTTTTGATTTGGTCTGAGACAGAACAGTATCATATGGCCATTAGAACAGCTGTCTCACAGCTGCATTTCCTCCGTTTACATAAAGGGTTGTGGGTGCAGGGAACAAGCAAACAAGTTGTTGAAGCAGATACTTTGCCTTCCTGTGAGAAATAACTGGATGAGATTCTCCAGTTTTTTATTTGATTTGCTGCTTCTACAGTGTTGGATTATCCTCCTTTTTTGGCATCATCTGCAAACATGACAATTTTATTAACTAGAAAGAAAACACAACATTTCGGCTGTGGAGCCTTCTTCGGGGTTTGTGTTTTGTGTTTTTTTTCTTCTCTTTTCAGCATGGAATAAGCGTATTACTTGTTCCTTTGCAGTCTATGCATGCTGATACAGCTACCCACCTGATCTATTTTATTAACTATACTAAAACCGTTGTTACCTGCCCAGGATTATAGCTACAGACTACAGAAAATCCTGCCCATCAATACATACGCTAAGATCTGGTGTAGGGCTTTACGATCTGGTCTTTCCAATGTTAATTCAGCTGGTGAAGTGATTTCTCACTTTTCTTCCTGGTCTGCTGTGCAGTGGTGGATGAAATAGGCTCTTCAGTGTTAGTATCATGGGCAGAACTGAGTAGTTTACAGTATCAGAATATATTCTAGAAACTAGATGATTGATCAACTGTAAATTAGGTCCTGTTATAGACCTCTGTTGTTCTACCCTTCCTTCCTTAGTAACCACCTGAGTGAAATAGTCATTTCACTTATTTATTTCTCAGACAGCTTACATCACAGTTTTTCTGTCCCCTTTGTGGTTGTACTACTCAAAAATTAACCTTTTTATTTACTATAAAAGAAACGATATTCTATGTCAGTCACAAGCGATTTATAATAAATTAAGAATAAATAAATGGTGTAATTCTTTCTAATATCACAAGGGTAGCTGACTTGCATGTGTAGCTTGGGGAACATACTGTAGTTAATAGTACAGAATACTATTCATCTTGATGATTGAAAAGAGCTAAACCACTGAGCCATGGTGTCCAATTAGCTAAAGGCATCTATGTCCCTGTTATTAACTGCTCTCTGTATATTTTTGTTCATACCTTCATACTCTACAGCCCTTACACTACTGGTTCTCAGTCCTTGTCCTGCTGACCCATACCCCTGTTGGTTTTCGTTGAATATGAGCCCACAGCTACACAGTCAAACCCTTCATTAATTTGATTAGATTAATTTGAACTGTTTGTTCCCGGCTCTTCAACATGTTGGGAGCTTTTAAGGGGAACTGTAATGGTATTTTTTATATTTCATGGTAGAAAGACTCAGCATTTATGAGTGCATTTCAAACCACAATAAAAGTAAAATCTACACAGTAACTTGCAAAACCTCTAAATTACATCACAAAATAGAAAAAATGTCCAGGTATGCGCAGGTCCAGTCCAGGTCTGAACTGCTATCTTCTGCAGTTCAGAATTAGGCAACCAAACTTCCAATGAAGTGTAGTGGCTTTATCACATTGTAATCAAGCAGGCTTGTGAATACATCTCTTTTAATCTCTTGTGAATACATCTCTTTTAATAGACTTTGAAATGGTTTTGCCAATAAATGCAACTTGTTACTGCATGTAGATCACCTTGGATCATTTCTGTGGTGAAATGTCTGCTGCACAACCTGTACTTAACAGCTCGTACATCGAATTACATTAGTCATTGCATTGACTAGCGAGCAGGAAGGGCCGCATCATGCCGCAAACCATGGGAACTCTAATGCGAGTTTGTGACAACATGAAGACTTACAGGATTTTCACAAAGTTCAGGATTTTGTGCTTAATTTGGAATTTTATTTTTTTTATCTATAAGGTCAATGAATTTATTTTTTTACTGAGATTTAATAATCAGTCTGAGAAATTGGGACTGCAGAAACAAAATGCAAATATTCCATTGAAGTAACTTCTTAGATCAATTAATGCCGCCGTCACACTACATGACTCGACATGACTTCTAGTCGGAGAGCATGTCAAATGTAACGACTGCAGCGGCTGAATCTCGGTGCCTTTTCTGTCCTAAAGGGTGTCAAATTATACGACTAGGAACCACAGGGGGTGACTAATTACACGATTCCCTCACGACTTTTCATCACGGTTCCAAATTGCGCCATAAATAAATTTATTGCGCCATAAAGGTACCGCGAGGTCGCCTCATTCTGACAGCCAATCAGCGTGGAGCACACTGGAATAAGACGTTTGATTTTGTCGTAGCGAGTCGCAGAGAGTCGTAAGGGCTTTTAAGAGCGCTATGACTGAGTCGCTGGGGGTGTCACACTACACAACTTACAGTAACGAGTGTGCGCTGCGACTCTCTACAACTCACTGTGATTTTCTTACGGTTATGTAAATGAAGGCTACGACTGAAAATCCTAGGAAAAGTCGTGTAGTGTGACGCCGGCGTAAGGCTTGAATTATCTCATGAAGGTGGGGGGAATGAAAACAGCGGGTGTGTGAGTCACCAGGAGCAGGATGGGGCTCTCCTGCCTTGCACATTGTGAGTACAGTGGGCATGTACAGTGAATTATTTGGGTTTTGTCTCCCAGGTCGAAAGAATGAAGATTCCTGCCGCCGAGTGCCGAAAACCTGCACTTTGTTGGATCGGTTTCCAGAGGCAACAGCCTGCAAGAGAGGACAGGTGCGTGATGCACGACTCTCTGTCCAGCAGGGCGTCACGGCTGCCTACCCAAACGAGTCCAGACGCTTCGATCCCCTGTCTTAGTTGTGCTGCCTTGTGTTCAGCAAAGGGAAACCATATGTTGCTCGTATAATTGTATGTTTAAAAAATGGAATCAAAGTCCCCAGTGAGCTGCTAATAGAGATAAGTGAATTTGAAAATTGTGCTTTGAGCAGTGACTCAGAAAATCCAGCTGCCATTCAAGTCCATTGGGAAGGACAAGAAGACATTGTCCCATTAAAACCACAGTGTACAGATCGGGGGGTGTTTGGTGAAAGTAATGGAATGCAACTAGTTCAGGATTTTCTTTGTCTTGCGAGTTGGAGAACCAACTACTCTGGTCCAGGTCCAAACTTGGATTGTACTGTATAATGTCAAATTTCACACTAAATTGTGTTGTGGTTGTTTTTCCAAACCAAACTCCTGCCTCTGTATTTTCCATACAGATCAAGTACTCTGTAATGCAGCCTGGTACACACGTGTGGCCGCACACAGGACCCACAAACTGTCGCCTGAGAATGCATTTGGGCTTGGTCATTCCCAAGCAAGGCTGTAAGATAAGATGTGCCAATGACACCAGGTAAGAAAATGGGGGTCTCTGCCTCTAACAGACTTCAGGCTTTGTGTGGTGTTTTGAATGAGAATTGTGATGCCAGTCTTGTAACCAATTTGGGAAATCAATTGTAAAGAACAGTGCCCGAGCCAAGTAACTTGTTGTCTTTCTATTCTTCATATTTAACAAAGTAGTTGAGTCACCACAGCATTATGCTGTCCCTTTTAATTACAATCCCTTGAATCACAGTACAGTTTTCCTTTGACAAGTGGTTGTCTGCCCACTGCACTGAATGTTTCAAGCATAGCCTTTAGTTTAGTTTCTTTTTAATTATTTAGCAAATCATGTCACGCATCGTTTTTAATTCTCTGTGAAAGTACTAAGAAACCTGCTTGAGTAATAAAGTGCTTGTTGAGATTATATGCAACCAGGCTCTTCTTTGTTTGAGATCTGTATCTCAAGCTTTATATAAGTTGTATCTTAAAACAAAATCTGCTGTTGATCAAGCATACTAGTCTGGATTTCATGTGTAAAATAGTACTTCAATAGTACTTTTTACAATTATTTTAAATTAAAAAGCCTAAGATCATCTTTATTGTACAGAACAATTAGAAAACAGAAACAATTGTACTGGCAGCATTTTAGTGACTAATAATTTGTCTTGAAATGGTCAATTTTATTAACATACGTATGACTTATTGTCTGCTCTTTCTTCTGACTTCAATGTGAAGCAATACAAAATAAAGCATTCAGTTATGTAAGGTGGTTCAGACTAAACCATGACTCGTCCATGATATAGTAGTCAATGAAGCCGCCTCAGAACTCTTGGGTCCTGGGTTCAAGTCTGGGAGTCCAGCCTAGTGTGCCTTCTGTGTGACATTTGCATGTTCTCTGTGAGTTTTTAATGAGCTTTCTCTGTGCGTTCTGATTTATCCCCATCTTCCAAAATGTTGCTGGTTTTGATCAAGTTCTCATTGTGTGATTATGTGTATGTACCCAGAAATGGACTGACACTCCATCTAGGGTGTACCCCCACTGAAAAAACATAGGCTCCAGGTTGCGTGATTCTCCCAGAAATAAGCAGCTTTCTAATAATGGATGGATGGCAGATGCATTTATTACAGGAGGGGGTGATATTGCTGCCTTCTGATCATCATATGTTGTTTCTCTTATTGCAGATTCTGGGAAGAAGGTAAAGTGCTCATCTTTGATGACTCGTTTGAACATGAAGTTTGGCAAGATGCTGACAGCTATAGACTTATCTTCATTGTAGACGTTTGGCATCCCGAACTGACTGTTCACCAGAGACGGACTCTTTCCCCAATATAATGGGTCTATTATTTTGAATCTTCCCACACACCAGTGCATACTCTGCTGTTATTGCTGTTGTTTTATATGTATGCGTTTTGCTTGTTCTAGAAGTCTACTTGTTAAAACAACAGCCATGCCAGCCCATACTTAAAAAACCAAAGGGGCACAGTTTAATTTACAAAGATTGTTCTTCAAAAAGTTAACAGAAGTACATGTGATATGAAGAAGTGACTCTGTTACATAGACAGCTACATGATTATGGCCTGTAATATATGGTACTTTGAAAATAATGCAACATTGATTAGCTCAGTTCCAGCTAGGAAAGAATTAAAAAGAATGAAGTTGTTTTGATGTTTTATTTTGCTGTTTGTATATTATGTGATGTGCCTTCCAAACCACAGATGCTGCTATGTAAATTAAGGGTTGTATGACTGCCTCATACAGTGATGAACTGTGTCGGCTTTTGAGTGAGCTGCTACATTCAGTTCCTTTTCAGAAATCATTGTGTTGAATTCAAAGTTTAAATATTGGCAGTAACGCTGGCATTATTAAGTCTTGGCTCTGTTATCAGAATGGATGTATATTAAACACTCAGAAAGGGGCTGCATAGCTGTCTATGCAATCGTATTGAAAAAAAGATTTTACAAGTTGAGTAGAACAAAGAATTTAATTGTGAATTATAAACTGTGACATTGGTTGATTCATCGGTTGATGTAGTGGTACACTGTTCAGAACATGACACGCGAGGGCAGTTTTTTTTTTAGAATGGAGTTAGGTCAAGTATCATGATGTATCTGGCACTGCATTCTAATGGAGAATTATGAAAGGGATAATGGAGAATTAATGGAGATAGAAAAAAACTACATAAAAAAGTAAGCAAAAATACTGTCAGGTTAAGTATCCATGGTGTTCTGAATACATTCCATTTGAAATATGGCCTATTAATTTGTGCGTGATCACGTGATATTTTAAAATCTAAACATTTGCGATTCATTTTTTATACAAATATGAAAATAGAAAATATGATGTCATACTAAATTCCAAAACTAATACTTAAATATTTGCACATACTTTTTGAAACACTAACTGCTATTCATTAACCAGAACAAAACAAGAAAAGGCCATCATTAACTCATGTATGTGTGCCTTTGAATTCGATTTTCAATTTTCAACATTTCGCTTTCGACATTTTCGTCTGTCTACTAAGGCAAGGTAGAGATGTTTACTTGAAGGCATAAAGTCATGCAATTTATATAAAGAGAATTATAAGCGAACAACAGATAATTTTTTATACTTTATTAGTTGTTTTAATGAATTGGGCTTGAATGCTTGTGTAATGTTGTCTTAAGCAGGTAATCAAAATCTACTTAGAACCGATAATTTGAATGTCTGTGATAATTATTACATTATTTGTGGAAACTGGCTCTAAAATTGCCTATTGAATACACTACATTATGTAAAAACAACACTACATCACTTAAAAGTTCCAGGTAGTATATTAGACTGTTACCTGCATAATCTAACAAAGGAACAAACAGGTTAATTCTGCACCAAATAATGAGAAAAGGCATGTTTCAGCTGTAGAGCTTTCTTCAGGTGTGCAATCTTCTTGGCAGAAAATCAATCTGGCTGCCTCCCAGGGTAATGAATATTAATAGCATTTATTAGAGCTTTTTGTATAGAACCTTGAAATTGTTCAGATTGCAGCTTGTGCATCATTTACAGCTAATGAGGTGCCACATGTGAATTTTGAACAGGTACAGTATATAATGATGTGATTGGATTCAGCCAGCAAACTAGCATCTCAGTTTTTTCCCCAGTTTTTGATTTTGTTAACTTTACTCAATTGTAGTACAGTCATGTCAAGTTTGTTTTGGAAATTACATTTGTTTTTGTTTTCCTTACTTGTGGATTTATAATGTTACAACTGCTGTACCAAGCTTACTCAATGAGCTTCCAATTTTGAATGATATTTTGATTTCTGTTGTTTTTCATTTTTTTGTTTTTTGTTTTCTTGAATTGCACTGAGAAATGTCTCCCCAATATCATTTGGTGTCAGAGTAACTGATTTGGTTCATTTCAAGGGAAATGAAGGAATATTTTTTAATCACTATTGTCTGTTAAAACTGTGATAACAGTACACTGTATTGTGTTTTTATTTTGAATATTTACAAATGTATATACATACAGTATATGCTGAGGTAGACTGAACTCTTTTCTATAATATGTGCTATACAACACACCACACCAGACCAACAGCATGGGAGGTACCTGAGAGTCCAATTGAGTAGGGCACTGTAGTACCCACTTTTCTGCAGTTGATTGTTAGGTCTTACTGCAGGTCTGCTGTGGTTGCAGTGAAATCATGTTTGATTCAGTCATTTAATATTCATTTGACTTTCAGACGGAAGCTTTCTAAATTTTACAGATTAGGTGGTCGTTTACCACCTTTTCACAGGAGGTGGCAGGATTAAATTACAATAAAAAACAACTACAGCTGGTCCATTATATGACCCATGGTATTATGCTGTTGTGACAGTGAGTTGTTACCCTAACTGATGATGGCAATATTCTTCAAGCTACAGCAGTTATGAATACTGAACTTGGGTTCCCTGTTAAAAGCTTCCTCATTTAATAGCACAGTCCCTTTTGGGAAAGGTAAATGTGACAGCAGACGAAGAATGGAGGTTATAGGTTTTTATTTTCATCGTTTCTGGAGTGTGCCTTACACTTTTAGAGAGATGATTTTTTTTTTATTGTTTTCTTTGTAATGTGCTAAGGTTTCTGTTGGGGAAAAATGCTGTTCATTATAGATGACTTAAGATGCTGGATATTTAGTTTGAACAAACTATTGGCTTATACTGACAGTTTGTTCATCAGAGGTAAACAAAAAACAATTTGGATTTCTTTCATTGTTTGTAATGCTATTTTTCAGATCAATAGGAACTTGTGTCTTATCGGTACACCCTCAAATAGATTTTTTAGCTTTGTTTTGTAAAAATAAATCCCTAATTTGCTTTATTCATTTTTCCTTTTTCATTTTTTAAGTTTTGTGAATTGTTTCAAAACTGTATGCTCGAACAACTTAAATATCTCTCACACAAATAAAATGTCTCCATACAAACAAAAGTATTGGGTTTCAATTTTCTCAGTAATTATGTATATAAATTCTTAACTTGTATAGCCTGATACATCATATTTAGCATAAGTTAAATATGGTCTATCAAGCTAATTATTACTGAAGACTGAAGAAAAATGTTTGTTGCAAGTTGAAAAGTACAAATTGCTTTTAAAAATATGTTTAAGTATAATTACCATTCACAAATGCCTTATGCAAGAACACTAATCCAATTTTTAGGCGTCTGTCTTTTAAAATCTAGCAGAGAATAAACACATTTGCAATATATTCCCCACACTGCACTACAAAAGCTTTTTAAGGCAATAAATGGTATGAGATAGGTGACCACTTTTGTGCTTAATTCCACTGATGAATAGCTGCAATTAGTAGCTAAGTTGTGGGTATGTCCAGGGGATATCAGTCCCAGAGGACATTGCCATAAAAGAGTACATATGGAAAGCTAAATGAGGGTGTTGTGCGATGTAATTAGTCGTACAAGTCACATACAGTGGCACACGCAGGTAACCTCAGTGAGCCTTTAATTAAATAACTGGAAAGGAAGGGAATTTAAATATAGCACTCTAATTGTACCATTAAAGTTGCAGTTCTAAAGCCCAGCGTGAAAGTGAGGTTAGAAGTAGGGCAGCAAATGCGGTCTTTGAATTACTGAGATGGGGAGGCAGATGTACCTCCGGCTGCTATAAAACGAACAATGCGTAGCACAGTCAAAGGGAATTATCATGTTATCACTTAAAGATTTGTAACTGAGGATTACTCTGGGTTCTAATCTTTGGTAGGGCACATCTGTCAGACATTTATGTATAAATCATTGTTCTTTTTGATGGTAGATTAGCCAAATTAATTAATAAAATGGTTATCTCACTTAATTAAGTAAAATAAAATTAAATATAAAACAGCAGGCACTGTGGCCCTCCAGGAATTGAATTTGGCATCCCAGCAATTTCAGACTGAATGTCCATTGCATCTTGCTTGAACAGAATCATAAAGCCTTCAGGTTTTTTGTTACAAGCATCAGGGACAAAATAAAGACCAACAGTTGCAAGTAATCCAAATAAAACGTTTTATTAATAATTAGAAGTTAATTATTTTAAGTTATTAATTAATAATCCAAATTATTAATGAGGTACAATATTATGTGCAGCAAAAATTCACAATAATTGTTCTGTTAACTACTGTGTAGTAGTTTCAGTGTACTGTGATTAACTCTCAGTTATGTGGTCTTAGAGTATTGTATGCAAGCGAGCACATTCTAATTCTATCATGAAAAAGAACAACTTGGCATACTGCACAGTAGTTGCTTACTCAGAGTATATGCATTAATATGGCTAGTCCATACAATAATAATAAAAAACATTATTCTATATACAGTAGCACCTTTAAAAGTGCCTTCACAATTAGAGGAGACAACAGAATTACACATTAGGAAAGCAAGGGGGCAGACACAGAACCAGTCAAATAAAAGCCCTTATAAAGAAGGAGGGTTTGAGTCTTGATTTGAAAGAGCTCGGGGTAGGTGACCCTCCGATATCCTTAAGGATCGAATTCCACAGCTTCGGAGCTCAGGGGGAAAAGGTCCTGTCACCCAGAGACAGACAGGGGGACAGACAGGAAACGAGAATCATGCCAAGCCATGAAGCGTCCGATACTGTAGGTGAGCATGAGGAATTAACTATGTTTTGTAATGACTGCTTTGCCGTTGGGGAGTGTGCTGCTGTAGTGGTCATGGGCCATACCTCCCTCCTCATGCTTTACCAGCAGTGATTGCTGAGGGGAATAAGATATTCTGGTCATCTGGCTGTTGCGTGAAAGCACAAAGCACCAGGTGCTGTGCTCTATCAAGACCTGCCCAGTTTCTCCTGGGCAATCTGGCAGGCAGCATGTCACCTCTGCTCCAAGAGTCATTAGACCACCTGATTTTAGTAATTTCCAGTCTAACTTTCTAAATTTTTACATGACTTTTTTTCCCCTCTATACTCTTTTTCAGATAGACATAGCAGATTGCAGTATGTTGATCATCCTGGGGCAGCATGGGGTCACATGCAGTGTTGCTGCTTAACATGTCCTGATTTCGGTACCGGTCTGGGGCTCCTGACTCAGGTGTAGTTTATGCATGTTTGCCCCTGTGTATTGGATTTGTATCCCCCCCTGTGCCTGTCGCTTGCTAGGAAACACTCCAGCTCCCCTGCAACCACGAATTGCATAGAGTGGTTAGAAAATGGATAGATGCTGTGAGAGTTCTGTGCTTTACCTTAGATTGAGCACTTTGACGGGTCTGTACAATGTTAAATGCATTGTAGCAATGCGGGAGGGGGGAGCCGCGGCGAGCACCGGTAAAAGTCGACGCTCCCGTCTGAGGGGGGCGGAGGCGCCAGCGAGGGGTTAGCGAGACCCGAAAAGAACACAAAACAAAGGGGGGAAAAAACAAGAAAACTGTGTAGTGCGGCACCCCGGGTGGACTCACTCTTAGAAACCTCTTAGAATGCAATTTGTATACTTTTATACAAATGTATAGTTTGTATAGTTCTAGATTGAGTTTAGTGTTTATCTGCTAAGGTGTTATAATAGGTTTGCACATAGCACAGGATCCAATTCACCGTTTCCCTTGGTATTCCATCTCCAGGAAAAGGGTAGTTACGGTATTTCTTCCTAGTGACTTTTATGTAGTTCTGACTTCACTCCATTGGCATAAGGAAATACAGTTAAACAGGAAGGAAAGACAAGGAAAGGAAAAGAGCTAGAAAAAAAACAGAAAAGCAAGCCATGATAAGAAATAATTTATTTTTTCCCCCAAACAGCTCCCTTACATGTGTTTCACTTCAGTACTTTCTAATGCTGATAATAATAAAAGCAAAATAATTAGTCTGCTGCTTACATGCACTTATTATTTACAAGTAATATATAATGCAGATTGTTTCAGCTTTTGGCAAAAACTATGTTGAAGTCCCATAGTCCAACAATATACAGTATGTCCTGGTAATGCCATTTTTTCCATTCTTTTGTACAAAATTGCAGTGTATTCTGAAAAAGAAATATAACGGCAATACAGTTTTTATTGTGATATTTCATAAACAAAATAAATAGTAATTCATCTTTAAGAAGTCAGACCCATAAGCTTGCACAAATATTTATAAAAGAGTCTTCCTGCATTTATTTACAGCCGTCAGTTTACCCCACTACTTTCAAGATCCTCTGAAATTCAAACAAATTTGGAACAGTTTTCATCACTCCGCAGTTAAAATGATGTATTTAAAACAGGCCTTTACATAGAGTCCAAAAAATAAAAGCTACTAATCTATCAAGGTTGGAACTGGTTGAAGATTTGAAATTGTGTTGTCCAATTGAAAATACACATGTACTGTACTTTCATTTTGTGTAAAATCTTCTCTGCCCTTCTTCTCTTATTTGTTTCAAACAAGGTTCTAGCTAATTAATAGAAGATTTTAGTAGACAGTATGCATGTATGTTCTTATGCTTTATCCAGCATTTTTTTCCCCATCACCTTTACCCGTCTCTGCCAAAGAGACCTTCTGGACTTACAGAAGGCAGAACCAGTCTCAAAAGATATCAAATGAAGCTACACATGGTTTAAGTCTATATGATGAATACCTGTGTACTGCAAACACAAAGATGTCATTTACTGCCACGGTTTATTATCTTGTTCTGAAAATATCTGGGATTCGTTACAACACTTGCAAAGAGGGTTACTCGACTCAAGCCTGAGACAGGACATTGTATAAATGAGTGAGCACAAATCTAAGTTGCTTTGGATTAAAAAAAATATATAGCCAAACAAATTTCAATAATCGAGCAGAAGGTGAAAATCATTTAAAATAAATCTTCTTTCCAAGTTATGATATGAATCATATTTTCAAATAATTTTATATACACCCTTCTATAAATGGTACAAATATAATGCCTGATATGTATTCAAATTCAAAGAACAGAAAACCACTCTTCTCTCCATTTTAGTTAACTCCATCACATTGAACAATGGGAAAAAAAGGAAAGGATGGTAACTGTTACCTGACGGACTTGCTCTATTACAGCAGGTAACACCTGATGGTGTTAGTAATCAGGAGGGGGCATGGAAAGCAATATTGAGTCCTGAGTGATGGATGGTTTACCTGATCTGATTATCCTACCTGCAGAGGCGTGTTGCGTGCGTTGTAGCAGATAAAAGCACAAAAATAAGGCTTAATTCAGGGTTTATCACTGGTAAGCAAAATAAATAGTATATCTGTCAACAATTATTTTTTGTGCAAAAGTGAGCTAAATTATTCGACTAGTTTCTCAGCAAATAGGTTTTATAATAATGTTTCTTTATTAGCCCTATACAATTTCTTGCATTAGGAATTCATCTTTTCACATACCCCAGCTTTTCTCCATGAAGACACAGACAGGGAGAGAAGCTTGGGGTCAGAGCACAGGGTCTGCCATTGTACGGTGCCCCTGGAGCAGTTGGGGTTAAGCTCAGGGGCCCAGCAGAGTAGGATTCCTCTGCCGGCCACGGGATTTGAACCGGCAACCTTCCAGTCACAGGCGCAGATCCTTAGCTACAGAGCCACCACTCCACCCATACGGTAGGTGATCACCGTATACTGTATTATCACCATTATACTGTAGGTGCTCACCATATTGATTGATTACCATAACAGAAATAATAAGCGACAACAGAATATAATGAGTTACTCAAGAAGGATGAGTACTATGTGAATCATGTATGTGAATACCCCTGGATTTTAATAACATCAATACCAATAGTCCTCTATTGCTTTAGGCCTGGAACAAGGTCTGATCCAAACGTTATTTATTCTCATTTCCCACCATTGCTGCAGGGAATAACCTCTTTGCAGGCACATTCAGTCCATGCAGAACTGATATTGTGCTCTGGCCACATTTCATAACCTTTAACAGAAATATTGCCCACCAAATTCTCCTTCTCTTATGAGCCATCTCAGAATCCTGAATTACCTTAAAAATTATGAAAATGCCCATTTTAAACTTGAACAAAATGTAGGAATAAGAGGATGATGAACACTGCAATGTTGTAATTTTAGAAAACTATAACAGTTTCTGTCACATCTCTTGAAGCATGAAAAGTCAGCAGCTGCCAAATGTCACTCCACCTAACTTTGATGAGTGACAGATAAATCCTAATTATAAAGTACATACATACCGTATCATCATTAAACAGAAGATTAAAAATGCAGATCGGGTTGAAAATGGAGGACTCCCAAGACCATACCATGCTTCCATTCAAATTCTCATCTTCTAAAGCTGAGCTTTAAAACTCATGTGCTAATTGAGAATTTTAATTGATCTGCTTGTTCATTTAGAATTGGGTTTTTGCTTTTTGTACACTTAGTCCTGGGTAATCAAACTACCCTACTTCAAGAGAAGTGTTTCCAACAAATTCAGCCTACATCATTTCTTTAGCCTTTGCTCAACTTGCTCACCCTTATTTCTGATGAGGCCACTTTTGACAGGTGATCAATTTATGATGAACAAACAAAGGTGAGGATGGCACTGTGTCAAAACAATCCCCACGGTGAGCTTTTTTTTCCTTCTGCAGGTCAGTTGGATAATATTTCGGGGAAGACACCTGAATGGGGGCCATTCTTGAACTCAAAAATTGGTACATGGTGGACACCAAATACAAATCCTTTTCAACCTTTAAGGGGCTGAATGCAAATTGAAAACGTGAGAAAATTAGCTGGAGCTATTCCAGAAGAGACAATGTACCAGGAATGGGAATAACTATTTTAAATCCTCTGTTTGAGAGTCAGACATGTTTATCTTCAGTGGTCCTTAAATTTCACAGAATCCTTATGGATGCGTAATTGAGGACATTTTACAAATGAGAGAAAGGGGAATTATTGCACTACAGCAGAGAAAGAAGCTCAGAAAACACCTAAGTGTACAGCACTTGGTCAAGCTGACTTTACAGTTCAATCAAACAGATCTATAGTCAATGCAGAGTCAATAAAGTATAAACTTAAAGTGCTTTGATTACACAGAGCTGAAAAATGTATTCAACAGAATGTTTTATTCCATACTTTAAGTTCATCTATACTTTTTAGTAACATTTTTTGTATAGTGCCTTTAATTTTAATGAAATCCCAAAGCTCTTCACAAGCAATTGAGAATAAACCCTATATCACTGAAATACATATCTGTTACATTAGTGTAAATATATACATTGTGTGTATATACTGTAAAAGAATTCCACATTTAAACTAAATCTGTTTCTGTCCCCCGCTCAGGGTTGTGGCAACATTCTCCTCTAGCGCCAGTGAATGGACTGAAGTTCCCAACCTGGTCCTGAGAAACGAGCACATAAGAAAATGGAAAAGGCCATTGGACACATCTGGTCCATTTGGAAGTCAGTAGTTAATTGAACCAAGCATCTCAGCCAGCCATATCTTATCAGGTATCAGCTTCAAGAACATTAGCTGAACTTCTTGTTCCGTGTACCTCTTTATTATACCTCTATACCTCTTTCACCCTTTGGGTAAAGAATTTAATCCGGTTTTGGATCTTAAATGCACCCCCATGCAGTTTCCACTTAACACGTTTCACTGTTACTTCTGTAGAAATCTGCTGGGTAGACTTTGTCTGTGCCTTTCAGGAATTTTGATTCTTAGAGCAGATCTCCTCTTAGTCTTCTCGGTTCAAGGCTAAAAAGGTTCAGTTCCTTACAGCCTGTAACTGTAGGACATTCCTGCCCCAGAATGTATCTAGTTGCACTTTTCTGGACTGATTCGAGATCAGCAATTTCTGTTCTATAACATACAGTGTATACTTAATGAGACCTTACTAGTGATTTATTGTAACAGAAATTTTTGCTCTTTTAATGATAAATCCAAGCATTTTGAGTGCCTTTTTAAATGCTTCCCAATGTTGTCTAGAAGATGTGAATGATACGTCAACATAAACACCCATCTTTTTCACACGTAGCCTCTTGTAGCCAAGGGAGTCCCAGTTCGTATTTACAGTATACTGTAGTTTTTGTTTGCCAACTATTCCAGAATCTAGACCACCGATTAAATTAAGAAGATCAGTGGAGTGGTCCTAGTATAGATTCCGTGGTACACATCCAATTACATCACCTCTGGGACTTTCATACCTGCTAGATTCGAGTGTTTACAATTAATATTCCTGCTCAAAAACTTACATGTCTTACATGTAAGCTTATAGCAAGTAGATCACCCTAATCACATTACATTACCCATGATGACAAACGAGATGGTGCGTAGCTTTCCAGGACCAGGGTTGGGGGAAAAAAAAGATTTATCGATTTTGTGAAGTTTTTAATGTTAACATTAAAAGCGAACTCTGGTTTTATATAACAGTGTAACGGACCCACTGCCGAGCCCTTTCACATTAATCCAAAAAACAATTTTCATTCCTGTTTACAAACACGAGTCAATGAAATTGAGGAGCTTTCTAAATTGGAAATATTACAGATATGTATAATAAACATATATCACAGGGATAGCTCACATTAAATTAAATAACGTATAGTAGGAACAGCATCTCTGAATTTAAGGAAACATTAATACCCTTTGGAATAAAAGCCCGAAGATGACTGAACTGAAACTTTCATGTTTGTTACTGTTTGATTGGTTTCAGTGTAACAGTGTTTATCGGCGCTGGGTTTGTTACTGAAGTGAAGTCATTCTCTTGAAACCTATAAAACTCCTTTGACAAAAGACCTGTTTTTTTTGTAACCACATTCCCCACTGTCTAGGCAGTAGTACTACAGTATGTGTGATCCGAATCTACAGTCTGAGCAGCCGTGCTCAAATCCCAGCAGGGTCAGAGCAGCTGGTGTGACAGTGTTGCACCTGTTACACCTGACATATCAGTTAAATATTGATTATACATGCCCTATTTCCTACACGTCTGAAAAAATATGGGATGATGTATTGATGGCACATTTTTACAGAGCACAACTGTGAAAACAGAATTACTCTGTGGGTTTCTGTGGTTTCCAATCCTATTCCTGGTGACCCACACATCTGTTGAGCCCTCAGTTACAAAATCAAACCCTACAGTTACTTAATAATAGGATAACTTTGGGCTGTTTGAAGCATGTTGGAGCTTTAACTGTGAAAATCCCAAACTTGTGAATAGAAAAAAAAATGAACATTAAATTGAAGCAACTTCTTAGATCAAGTACAACTTTCTTTATCTAATAAATGTGGGATGGAATTAAAACCAGCAGATTTGTGGGTCACCAGGACGGGAATTGGGAAGAAAAACACAGGTAAGCTAACTAAGGAGGTAGTTCTTCTTTGCTCAGGCTTCAGAGAACACACATTCTTGAATGTTATGAACTTTTAACACTTCTGTAACACTGTAACAAGGGTCATTTAAAAAAAAACAGTAAATAATACAATAAATCATTTTACAGTCTACAACAAATCACAAACATTACATTTTACAACAAAAATCACAGAAGCCTCAGTAAAATAAACTGTTCTGAAGTAATAGGCTGCACAGCTTAAGCCAGAATGAAAAACAGAATTTCCTCAATTCAGTGTTTTAATATTGCAACCAATAAACATACACCTAAAAAGACGTCCTCAGCCTTCTCCAGCTAAGTGTAACATCCCCACCTGTTTACACAAAGGGATCTTGATTAGGACTTTGCACATTGGAATATATTATTCATGTAAACTAGGTCTCCAGTTAATGATGGAAACAGATGAATAAAGGTATGTTCTTTTCTGCTATCTGTCAAACATTAACTGTCTTGGGCTTAGCACTGTGCCGTCATTGGAAAATATAACATTATAGCATCACATCTGTTTCCCAGTTTATTCCATTGGACTATTCAGGTTTCCATTCCATTTTTTGCCTTCCAGTTACAATTTAGTAATAATATTTATTGAAAAGAGAGCTTTAGCAGCACCATCTTAGAATACGTTAGTTGTAATGTGTTCCACTATAACTAACAATACTAATGCTATTAATATAAATGACAGCAATGTTGCATTTTGAAACCAACTTATACTTATAAGATATAGAGATATTAATATGTGTTGGATGAGTAGCCAGCAACTTTGCCAGCCACACTTTAACCTACTTAATGGCGTTAACAACAAATGTTTAGGAAGGATGACAGCAGCCAAGTTTCAATTTCTTCACAGCTGCTCCAATTTGTAATCAATCCTGGCATCGGTTTGTCAAATTAAAAACTGTAAATACCATAATTAAGCATTTTATCCTTCACATTCATCTTTTGCATCCCCTTCTCGACCCCACCTTTGCCCTCAGCCAATGAGGTTGAGCCAAATGTCACTACGACAAAGCATCCCAAAAATACTTTTGGCTACGTTTTGTTCTTGGGCACTGTTGTTCCACAAGAATAAAGCTTATTAGTTGGTTCTCGTGAATAAAGCTTATTCGTGTTTTCAACTGTTTTCCTTTGGATGAATAAACCTGCAAGCACTCCTCAGCCGTTTCTCTAAATTACTGCCATTAAATTCCAAAAATAAAATCCCTTGCACTGAAGGTCTGATGAGGTTATATTGGTAGAAGTTCAATTAAATATACAATCTTTGTAACCAGTCAGTCCTGTATCTGCAGAGAAAATAAGCATCTAGTGTACAGTATAAGACAGTAAGAAAATTCACAGCTACAAATCAGACTCGACACCAACAAAAAAAAAAAAACTTTTGCTTAGCTGGGATTAGTTGCAGACGTTGTTGGCTGGTATCAGTTGTGTCACTGAAACGGAATGCCTGAGCAAGCCAGCGCTGACTTGATTGAGGGTGAGTTTCATCGGCCACTTCGCTTAGACATGGCTCTGAATGCAAGAAGCACAGCAGGAGAGTGTCTCCTCACAGAAATCAGTCCAGAGCTAACAAGGGCTGTGTGTTATCATCCTCCCTGTCCTCGTGCTTTAGAGTCCCGGGTTCGACCACTGACTGAGACCTACAGAAATGAGAGGAAATGATTAATTTTCAAAGCAAAAACATGACTGGTGAGAGAGTGGAATAACCCACTACACAGCCCAATAGCATGTCAATTAAGCTGAGACCTTGAATGCCGTTCAGCCTACATCTTGTATCAATGTATTCGCACTGTAAATGTTATTAAAATGCATTTAGAAAGAGCTTAAAAGTCAAGTGGTAATGAAATCTGTCCTAGTATAAGATTAATTAAATGGGTTAAAAAAACAGCATCTTGTATTCAAAATGAATAACATTGAATGAATAACTCAATAACATTGACATATACTGTACATTTAAAATTCTTTTGCCTTCCATTACTAACAACAAAAAAACACCTTTGCATAAATCACTCTCATAATGTATATCACATCATCACATTACTTTGAATTAGTTTATCCAATTCAGGATCTGGTTGTGCAAAGCCTATCCTGGGAAGCATTGAGTATAATGTGGGATGCATACTGGACCATCACAGGGCACACACAGACACACACACACTCACACCAGGGCAATTTTTCTCAGTAGCCAAGAAACCTACCAGTGTGCCTTTGGACTGTGGGATAAATCAAGAGCACCAGGAGGAAACCTACAGTAAGGAGAACATGCAAACTCCAGGCAAATAGTACTTTGGGAACTGAACCCAGAGCTCCAACATTGCAAGACAGCAACAATAGCCACTGCACCACCCCTGTCATAATGTACCGGTTGTCCTAAATATCTTTATACATGAATGAGGTTTAAATACTTATGTATGGGTGGATGTTTATGAGATGTAACAGCTGATTCTGACATGATTGCATAATATATATACTGTCCTATATAGGTAGAGGCTAAGAAGGCCCCAAGACTGAAACACTTCCGTGTGAAATTAACTCTGCTCGTATAGATTTAAAATTGAGAACAGGAGGCACATCTTTACATTAAGGGTTGCGGGAGTGTGAAGCAAGCTGCCCAGCCTTAATGTTTGAAGCCATATGAAATGAAATGACTGGGTGAGATTTTGGATCCATGAGCTACTAAAACTCAAATGGTCTTGGACAGATTAAATGGCCTTCTCTGGTTTACTTGTGTTCTTGTTTCACCATGTAAGCTATTCTATGCACATTTCCGAAGCAGAACAGGAAACATATCCTCAGGGTAGTGTCGGAGTTTTAAATTATGGCTGATAAAATGAACATTTCAACGCTGCTTATAGAAGCCTTGCTGATGTTATCGATCCAAATATGCTGCAGTCACATCACACCTTTGCTTTTTTTTGTCATTCTAGTGCTTTGAGGTTTCTATTCATCCTTTTCATGTGTATCGGTGCCATGATTCTCTCCTCCTGTAGGATTCCTATGCAATTGCTGTCCTAGTTCTTTGACTTCAAAAAGCTGATGTGCCATTAAATTTGCCCTGGCATCCTTACTTCAGTCAACTTCTATATTAAGTCATGCATGGAGACATATAAGATATATATGCATAGATGGGTAAGGCCATCAGGATTTTTAACACCACAGCACATTTTATAGATGAAAACAGCCTGCAAACTCCCTTGGGTTACAGAAGGAGAGAGCAATTATGTATTACACAGAGGGTTTGAGAAAAATATAATGAAAAGTAGGATCTAGTCAGCCTCAATTGCAACAAGGCATGGCAATAAAGGTTGCTATTATGCAGCCGAGCCTGAGAAACTGCGAATATTAATAACTCCCCTCTTTCTAAATAGGATTTTTAAATTAATTGCTTTGCATATGAAGCCAAATTCACAACACAGTAATGAAACAAAAAAGTATAACACTTTTTTTGCTCTGTTTCAGTGCTCATACATTGGTTGCGTTTGCTTTTCACATAATGAGAGTAATTGAACCCAATGGGATTAACACTTAGCCAGTTGTTACTTCAATACCACAGCTCCTGGGATGATGATAATGCAGTATTTTGTTAAATATTTTCTCTCTGTAGATTGTTTGGCTGAAGGACAACCATTTGACAGCTTTTCTTAGTGAGAGTTTCTACAAGCAAAATCCTACCCTGCTCTTGCCCAAACCAGAGATTAGCTGGGCCTACATTTGCACCAAAGAGAACTGGTCCCCCATATTGTCTGTAAGGTTCCCATGAAACAGGAGGCTATGATGAAGTTTTTTGCTAATAAAACAACTATCTCCAGAAAAAATAATGTTCTGGTTTCTTACAGTATATGGGCTCGCCCACAAGAAAAAAAAAAACTTTTATAAGGCATACAAACATAAAACAAGATAAAGAATTTAAGACTGTTCAGTTCTGTGTGAACTCAGTTCATGTTTGTTTTGGTATCACAATATCATGTTTTATTTCTAGAAATGCTTGAGCTTTATTCTTTCAGCTCTTCCTACATACTGTGTGTCGTTGCTAACAACAGGTCTCTGTTCCCTGAAAAAATCCCATTACAGAAGTCTAAATTATTTGTCTTGCTTTGCTATCATCAGCAATTACAATTGGACTATACCATAATCAACAGATAAAAAACTAGTAGATTTTTCTTTTAGACATTTTTAGTATTAGCATAACGGTATTCTATTATAATTGGTATTATTTTACAAAGCTTTAATCACAACAAAATTAAAACATAAAAAAATGTTAAAGGTCAAATTAATAAACCTGTCTAGTCTCAGTATCTATGAATTACAGGCACCACAGCCAGCCTCATTAGCTACAGTTCAGGATCGGGTCAAAGCTGGAAGCTTCGCTCAATCAGACCTTTTTGTTTTTCTTTAGGAATCATTTTCAGTTCCCACAAGCAACAGACAATAAACAATTAGTTCACATGTGGGGGGAAAAAAAAAAAAAGAAAAACCAAAAAAAAAATGCACAAAACATGATTTGACCCCTAGGTCAACTCTATGAAAGAAACAGAAAGGTGCCTCAACTTTGACAGACAGCAAGGCTCCTCCATGTCTGTGACCTGGCTTTCTGCTTGTGAATAAACTCCACCGCACACTGCCCTTTCTGACTCTGGGTTGCTGCCTTTTCTCTTCGTGAAAGGTGCCGAAACCCTCAACAGCATTTCTTTTCATGTAAGTCACGCTCTTGACCGATGCAAAAATCAAAAACACGACCTACAGTACATCTGTCTGTAACAGAAACAGAAATCTCTCTCAATTGATACAGGTGGATATCGTGTCCTGTGGGCCACAGTTTGCTTACACACACACGCAAAATAGCACAGGGCTCGATCCCCTTTATGCTACAAGAGTAATTCAGAACACGTTGTATTTAAATAATACAATGCAGACTTAAGCTCCAAAGCAACCCTGCTATCCTAATCTCTCAATTTTTTAGCTTTATCCGGCTTTACGCCCTGCAAGAAGCTTACAGAGTGTACTTAAATGCTAGGTTTCTCATTTCCCTTGTTCAGTATACTGCTAAGATTCAAATCCATTTGAACCCTGAGGCTGAGTTCTGATTAAATATCGCCCAAGCTGGACGGAAACAGATCCTGCTAAGAAAATATATAATTGACTGTGGCACATGTGCCCATACACACTGGACAAGAAACATGTTCTGTGCTACACTAAAATGGTATTCCTGTGCTTTGAAAGCTTAAAGAACAAACAGATGGACAGTTCTGCTGGGTGCTCTTTTGTAGTTCTGTTTGCTTCTTGTTTCATTCCGTTTATGAAAAATGAAAAGCTCATAAAAACTGGTTTCCAAAAAAAATGTAAGTAAACCTAGAGGCTAATATAAGAATACAGGCTTTAACAATTATTAATATTACTGCTTGAGCACTAATAAGAAGCAGACCATTTTACTCATCTTGTTTTCAGTTGGAACTGCACCAACTAAATTAATAATATCAAGCACACAGCATAATAAAGCATGTGAAAGACTGATCAGATCTCGGTTTTGCCAAAGAACTTCCTTGCTGTACAAGGGCATGTGCGCGCGCTGGTAAATCTACAGTAGATGCCTGTTCAGATCTATTGATTGATTATACAAATGAGAAGAAAGTGATTTTCGGTAAGAGAACATGCCTGCACTTTTCTTTCAGTTAAGGTTTTATAAGAATGTGCAAGTGTCAAAAATAATCAATTTTCTGTTTTGCGTTTGGACATGTAGAGAGGGGTTTGGCAAAGTAGCAATGTTCCAGATGCGAAAGTCCTTTCTCCTTTGACCGGTAACCCTCTAACCTGGGGAGGGCTGGTGACATTAGCGCTTACTGCTTCTTTTTGACAGCTCTGAGACTGTCAGCTCACTCCCGCTGACGTAAAAGCTTCAGTCAATTAAAGCTCAGCGTGAAAACTGAATCTCTTCACCACTGACCTTCAGACAATCCACTTCTGTGAAAACAGGCTTCTTTTGTAGCTGTGGCACAAGCTGTTAATGCAAGCACATTTATTTCCTGCTCTGCAGAGACTGTTTTTTTTTTCTGAAAAAAAACAAATCCAAAATTTTAAATTTTCCCTGTTATATCGAAGGACTGGATTTAGATGGATTACTGACTTTTTCCTCAGGAAATCAAGGTTTATTTGTTATCCCCAGCTGCTAAAATATAGGCTCTCAAAAACGGAGTATTATATAGGATGAGACACTAATTAGTGACTGAAAAGAAGAGAGGCTTTACGGGGGATGGGTGTTGTGCTCTGGTTATCCATGCCATTTGGAAAGGTCAGGAGGGGATGGTTTCTATAGTAGTCTTTTTTAATTGAATCAATTCCAAGGTAGTGGTCACCAGAGACCTGGTCTTAAGATATTACTTGTGGATTGCAGAATGACTCATGGTACTACACAGGGTACACACTGAGTACAATCCTTAAAAGTTGCTGTAATTTGTAGAAATCAATATAGATTTTTAACATTAATCATTAGGAGGTAAAGATGTCTGGGGCTTTGAGGCTGACCTGAGAGAGAAATACTATGCAGGATGACACAAAGCAAGAGAAGTAGCACAACATTTTGTTATTGCTTTCATGGTTCCTATAACTCATCATCTCAAAAGGTTCCCTTAAAACATGGATTGTAGCTAGTAGCAGAGAATTCTGATTCTTTGTATTATTACAAAGTGATTTGTGTTTATTTTATTGGTATAGGTATAATAAAGACAGAGAATTTAACGATTTAAAAACAGCTTGGTTTGTCAGCTTGGTGAAATACAATACAATACATACATTAAACTATGGATGCAGGTGCTGAATTTGATTTGCGTGCTCTGGAAGACAGACATTGGTTGTGTTTACAGAGAGAGTATGTGACATTTCGTCATATCACGAAGGTGGATATAACTGTTGTAAAAAAAACACTGCAGTATGTATTGAAATCTTTATATAAGTTCTAATATGTATGCAAGAGTCTCTCTTCTATACATGGTACTTATGTTTAGAGTAAGACATATAAAGATTTTGACATTTATGGTAACAGAGATAAGATGTAAAATATTAAAGCCTCCTGTAAACGTACTGGCTCCTAGCATTACAGGAAAATGCACTTTAGCCTGCTGTTTATTTTTCAGGAACTGCCTTTAGCATAACACATTTAAACTCATTCCAAACCTTCACTGAACTGTGTTGTGACTTCTAGGAAGCCTACAGTACATTGGATTCAGAGAGTGTTTCAATATTTGGGGTAGTGTCATGGATGAAAAGGACTTATTATGATTGCGCCTGGGCTTTAATACTAAAATCCAAAAAATGAAAAAAAAAGAACATTCATTCATAATGGCGACACACAGAAGAAATGTATGCAAGCTTTTTTAGCTTTCCAATTGTACATTTTTACTACTGTAACCGAGAAACAGACAACTACAGTATGTGAATAATCCTGTAAGGATTGCCTTAAAACAAGTTTTGGGAAGCCATACAGTTCTAAAGTTTCTAAAGGCAGTAACAGATTTTCAAAGAGTGAACAGGTCATCTGGAATGAAAACCAGAAGACACTGCGACTCTCCAGGGTCAGGCTTGCAGGCCCCTGCCTGAAGGTATTCTCATAAAACATGACACTGTAGGATTCCTGACTCACTTTGTATACTTGCGCTATAGCAGGAAATATGAATTAATCATTCTCAAACACTTACAAATCCAAGGGGACAAACAGAAATTCAGATTCAAGATCCACACTACCTTTTCTAACTTCAAAGACAAGAAATTGTTCAGGAGAACATAATGACCAAAAAAAGTATTTTCCTGACCTACGTGTCAACGTTAAAAATAGATTCAGCATAAAATTGAATCAAAATAATAATTTTGACATATCATTTTTCTGGGATCCATGTTAGGTCAACCCCCAACATGCACCCAAAATTAATTGATTCACATTGCAAAAAAGGAAGGTGCAAATCTGATCAGTCTGATTCCTGGTCAGTGACTTCTTCAATCAACTCTAATGCTGCATTTCAGTCAAAGTCGAATTAATGGGAAAAACAATACTTTGCCTTGCAGTGCTGGGACTCTGGGTTCAATGCCAGGTCTGGGTGCTGTCTGCGTGGAGTTTGTATGTTCTCCCCGTGTTTGTGTGGGTTTCCTCTAGGTGCTCTGACTTCCTCCCACAGTCCACAGACATACTGGTAGGTTAATTGTCTTCTGGGAAAAACGACCCCCTGGTGTGAGTGTGTGTTTGTGTCTCAGTGTGTCCTATGATGGACTGGTGTCCTGTCCAGGTTGTATCCTGCCTTGCGCCCATTGCTTGCTGGGATTGGCTCCAGCTCCCCCCATGATCCTGTATTGGACAAAGCAGCTCGTAACTGGGTGGTTGAGTGAAAAAAACAATACTGGTGCAACCCTCAGAAATCTATTTTTCCTTTTCCGTTTCATTTGTCGTGGCTTCACTCACCTTTTCATGTGTTTTTCAGTACATTCTCTATCGGAGTTCCCCAGGGCTTCCTTCACATGCAAGGCGTTGTATGTGTGAGTATATTCGGTTTCATCGTTGTAGTCAGGGCCTAATAACGTCCGTGCCCATGTGCCCATGTCATAGGGAGGCAGAATCCCCCCAAACTCCGAAGGCAGGCACTCTGGATAGATAAGCTGATGCAAACTGTTCAGATTGTTCCCATGAAGAAAAATCTGTATTTGAGAGATAAATGAAATGCATAACGAGTGACAAACTAAGGCGATGTATTTAGAATCATCCAGGAAACCAAAATGCGATCACAGAAACAAAAAGCGAATTTGATCCATGTGCTCTGGGAAGTACACCCTTGAAAAGATTATTTAAATAACATAACTTTTTGAACTTTTTGATACAGGCCCATACAATGATCTGTAATGTATTACTGAGTTTGAAAATTGTGCATGGCAATTAAATAAAACATAAGGCGGTGTATGTCCGTTAATAAAATATTCTGGCCAATATTACTGCATTGACTGTAGTGGGCAGGTCCTCCTTTGTATTTACACTTCACTGAAATCAGAAATTAATTCAAAACAGAACAAAGCCAAAATTACAAATATGAACCACACAGTCAGGACCTCAGTTTTATGTCTCATCCACTCCATCTTTTTTTTTT